GCAATGCGCGTGGCTCGTTCAGCTCACCCCCCCCCCCCCCACTCAGCCCTGGGCATTCAACAAGCAGGGATTGTTTAATTCGGGACAAAGTCAAAGTATCTATGAGACGAGGCTCCAAAGAAAGCTGTCTCTGGTGTGGACCAATCAGTTTCAAAGACAATGCATAAATTACCAGAGTATTGTTTTTTGTTTGCATTTGACTGCAAGTATTGTGGTTAATGTAAACATGATTCCTTGCAAAAGGTGTCAGTTTTGTTGCCAGAAAAAAAGGGGAAAAACCTATTACTAAAGTCAAAGTAATTGGAATTACAAGTTAATCTGCTGTTGTTATCACTTTGATTCACTCTCACGGAGATCTGTTAAAGAAGACTGACTAGGCCCCGAGCCGTGTTAGACTGACCTAAAGCAGGGATATATACCTGGTACCTGGGTACAAATCGTGCCGAGGCTACCCTCGGTAGCGAGATGTCAACTAGTAGCCGCAGTGCAACGAATAAAATGCATCCACTACATGCCTGTCAACCCCTTCTCAGTGCTATATTCTTAGGTTTTTTTCGGTAAAGTCACGTAGGTAAAACATTAAAATTAATAAAAGTAAAATAAAATAAAAATAAAAATCACGACGTTTCGGAGGCAACACAAGCTTCCGTCTTCAGGTGGAACCGTCACAGCCACGACAGCTGTATCAAGTACCCTACCTTATTACAGACCAATTCAGACCTTATTGCTCATCCCGTGCCCCTTATACATCTCAACGTTCATCCTACAAAGTCCCATCACAAGGGAGAAACACAAAAAATAGACAAAAATCTAAAATTATCCCGTGTTGAAACAGCTGTACGCCGTATGGACTTGAAAACTAAATTTCCCTGTACAGGAATACGGGTAAACCGTGTGGGTTGACAGATATGATCACTGTTACATTGCTTTTATGGCTATATTTGGGTGATTTCGAAAAGTTTTTTTGTTTGGCCATGTTTGTTTGTTGTAGTACGGAGTTAGACTGATGGCCTTATTCTAAGTTGTCTTGTGGTTCCCATAGTGTAGATGAGGTCCCCATAGTGTAGATGCTTGCCCCGAGCTCTCATACTCTGATGGTGCATTGTCCTTGAGTTGTGCGCCTTTTGGCGTCATCTGGTCCAACCCATATGAGACTAGGCTCGAAGGAAAGCTGTCTCGGGTGTGGACCAATCAACTTCAAGGACAGTGCACATTATCAGAGTTATGTTCCTTTGTTTGTATTATGACTGCAGGTATTGCGGTCTATGCAAACATGACTCCTTGCAAAAAGGTGTCAGTTTTGTTGCCAGATAGAAGGGTAAAGAACCAATTATCATGTCTTGTGGTTGTTGTTGTTGTTTGACTTGTATCCCACTGGGATTTTTGCACACAGCGTTGGTGTACGGTGCTTTTTAAATCCTTTATATTAAGTTCGCTTGCTTGCTTGCGTGCTTGCGTGCTTGCTTGCTTACGACCGTGCAAATCTTTCGGTTGTTTTTAAACACACTTCTCGTGATCCAATCGAGCTGACATTTTCCACACAGACTCGTTGTGCGTGACAATAAATTTTCGCGAAAAATTTTTTCTAAAATTTGACACTGTTTAGGGAATTTTTAAAAAATATTTAATTACCAATTGCTTAATGCTGGCAGACAATCATCTGACCCATAGGTGGCAGCTATCTCAAGCCAGAGGACGAGAGGACTCTAGCCGCCATGCATATAAAGGATTTAGAGTGAAAAACTTTGTTTTTACGGGTTAATTTTTTGTGGAATATTTTGCTGTCTTTTCCTGGATTTTCTGTTTGCAAATAGTCACATAGTCACTTTAAGATGTTTTCTTGTTCATGTTTTTGTTTCATGTTTTTGTTTTCTGTTTGTTGCGGTTGCACCCGATTCAAGAGCCGAATGGCTCACAGGGCTATACCAAATAAATGAAACTGATGAAACTGAAACTATGCCACGCTTATACCTCCACGTCCAATTCTAAATCCCTTCATGGTTGGGGAGGTGGGGGGGTCACTGAGCCTCTTAACCAGTACGTGGGGCTGTGCAATTGCACTGCCTGCAACGTTGGGTCAACGTTAGCTGGAACCGTTGCCCCAAGATTGGCCCCAGCAGCATTCCATGTTTTGCTGGGCCTCCAGTGTAAACGTGCATCCATAATATAGGTAAATTTTTTGGGGTTAGATCGCGTAAATATAAATGTGTCGTTAAACTCGCCGCCACCACCCGACACAGCCAATTAGTAAGGTTTGTCACGTAAACAGAACAAGGCCGTAATTATAATATATATTAAAATATGCTAAAAATGTCCCCCCCCCCAATATATTGCTATAAACAATATTTATAAAAAAAAAGTTGCTATGCTATGTAAATAAAAACAACAATTTGCTAAACCTTGGCCAAAATATCTGGACTTGTCTTCATATAACAATGCATAGATTTCTGCGCATATGATTGTGGTTATGGTTGCACTTTATGAATCCCTAATCTCTGCCATTACATACACTGAAACAAGAAAAGGTAAAAAATAAACAAAACAGAGCAATGTAATACAATACACTCTTAGACATTATTGAATTTTTAAAATAAAAAGTCCATCCCATGTGTTAGTGAAATTTTTTTATATTTTAGGCAGGAAATTAGTTTTCAAATTTAGAATTTTTTTTCTGGGGGGGGACCCCTAGACTCCCTGGAAAATTTGGTCCCCCCCAATGTTGACTCCATGGCGACGGCCTGGAAACAAAACGTGCCAATTAGTTATTACTTTAGCACACCGGTGTGTTGGAGAGTAAATCCACAACATTTACAATCTGAGTACAGTGACGTTTCGCTGGTAATTACATCCAGCATCATCGGGCGATTTTGGCAAAAAAAACCTCACCACACTCGTCAATGACGTGTTGGCCTTAAAAGCAAAACAAAAAACGAAGTATATTTACGTTAGATTTTTTTAGGCAGTGTTATTGAAGAATGTGGTGAATTTTTTTCTTGCTAATCATTTTCGGAATCGACTCAAAAGGTCACGGAATCGATGGTGGAATCCAGTTCAATTTCAGTCGCGGTTGAGCCCTTTGGCGCCGGGCAGCAGCAGCAGTTTGACAAACCTCACTAATTGGCCACGTCGGGTGGTGGCGGGTTTAACGACGCATTGACATCCACGCGATCTAATCCCCCCACCCCCCCCCCCCAAAAAACACCTTACTATTATGTATAACATTGGTCGCGAAAGCCGACGTGGTTAACGGTTGCAAAACAAACCTTGGGCCAACGTTGTTCACTGTCTGGTCGGAACCGGCGAATCCCCTCCCCAGCAGCGTTGGTCCACCGACGTTCTGCGGAAAACTGACCTCGGTCAAATCAAGATTGACCTCGGCCAAATCAAGATTGAACTCGGCCAAATCAAGATTGACCTCGGCCAAATCAAGATTGACCTCGGCCAATTCAAGATTGACCTCGGCCAAATCAAGATTGACCTCGGCCAAATCAAGATTGACCTCGGCCAATTCAAGATTGACCTCGGCCATTTCAAGATTGACCTCGGCCAAATCAAGATTGACCTCGGCTAAATCAAGATTGACCTCGGCCAATTCAAGATTGACCTTGGCCAAATCAAGATTGACCTCGGCCAATTCAAGATTGACCTCGGCCAATTCAAGATTGACCTCGGCCAAATCAAGATTGACCTCGGCCAATTCAAGATTGACCTCGGCCATTTCAAGATTGACCTCGGCCAATTCAAGATTGACCTCGGCCAAATCAAGATTGACCTCGGCCAATTCAAGATTGACCTTGGCCAAATCAAGATTGACCTCGGCCAATTCAAGATTGACCTCGGCCAATTCAAGATTGACCTCGGCCAAATCAAGATTGACCTCGGCCAATTCAAGATTGACCTCGGCCATTTCAAGATTGACCTCGGCAAATTCAAGATTGACCTCGGCTAAATCAAGATTGACCTCGGCCAATTCAAGATTGACCTTGGCCAAATCAAGATTGACCTCGGCCAATTCAAGATTGACCTCGGCCAATTCAAGATTGACCTCGGCCAAATCAAGATTGACCTCGGCCAATTCAAGATTGACCTCGGCCAATTCAAGATTGACCTCGGCCAAATCAAGATTGACCTCGGTCAAATCGAGATTGACCTCGGCCAAATCGAGATTGACCTCGGTCAATTCAAAATTGACCTCGGCCAATTCGAGATTGACCTCGGCGAATCGAGTGCGGAGGCGGTGGCGCGTAACTGGAGTGCGCTCGCAGCGCGAAACCCACGCGCGTGAGCGTGGGAGGGGTGGGTGGGTGGGCACACTCTGGACCGTGTGTGGGGTGCGAGGAGGCGAGTTGCGTGTTTTGTGTGTGTGGTTGGTGTGGTTGGTGTGGTTGTTGTGGTTGATGTTGTTTCACTCCGGGGACCGATTCGACGCACGGCGAGTTGCTCCCACGGGTATATTTCTCAAGCTTATTCTGGCCGGTCACGTGCGCTCTTAATTTGTAGTCGACGGCGATCCGAGGCGAGAGGGAGCCCACAATGCCCTAATTCGGGACACAATGATGGGGCTTTTATTGTTGTTGCAAGATGACTGGCCAGCATGCAGGAATTGGGTCATGTTACTCTCTCTCTCTCTCTGCTGAAGCCAATTCCGAGTTGTTTTTGTTGATGAAACCCGATTTAAGATGTTTTGGCTCACCAGGGTACTTCAACATAAACATAATTAAATTGAAGCAGTGACGTGAGCCAGGAATTGCAGCGCTGCGCCTTCACCACCACCACATTTTCTGTACACTGGACCCACGTGTTTACTGATCGAGTTGCTGTTCTAAAGCAGCTGGGGTGGGCAGCCCTCTAGCGGGGCTCTCGTGAGCTCCGTCGGTTGGAGGACCCTTCCACCAGCAGTGTCGTGATGAGGCCATTGCAGGGCCGCGCCTTCGTCGGCGTAGTCCGTACCCTACTCAGCTGTCTCGCGCTCTCCCCCCCTCTCTCTCCGCGCGTGCAAGGCTCTTTAAGTCCGAGGGGAAGGGAGCGGGCACCGAGAGAGGCGGACTGCCTCGCCCTTGTTCGGACACCTTCAGACCTCCTCGGGAGAGCAGATCCCAGCAGCAGCAGCGGCGGCACCAGCACCAGCAGCAGGAGCAGCAGCAGCAGCAGGAGCAGCAGCAGCAGCAGGGGGTGGTGATGGCTCGCAAGTTGGCGGCGTCTGCGCCACCCGCTGTGCCGGCTCCACTGAGCCCGCGCCCCGCCACACGGAGCTCTGCGCGGTTCGGCAACTTGAGCCAGCACTCGTTCTTCTCCCGGCACAACCCTCACCCGCAACGCGTGCGGCACATCCGAGGTGGGGGTGGTGGTGGTGGTGGGGATGGGTTGTGCCACCACTGGGTCGGGGAGCGGCGGTGGCGCAGCGGGCAGTGCGCTGCGCTACGAACCCGGTGCCAGCCCCACGTGCGCCGTGCCAGCTTAGTAGTGGGTACTGGCTGGCAGCGCTTGCCCCGACGGTCTACACAGCGAGACAGGGGAATGCCCGCACGTGTGTGTGGTGTGTGTGTGTGTTAAGCATGGCTACGTGTACGTCTGCAACTCTACATGCTGGTTTGTGTGTGCGTGTGTCTGCGAGGAGCGGTGGCGCAGCGGTTAGCGCTGCGTTACAAAACGGGCAACCGCTCACGGCCAACAACACCAGTGGCGACTATCTGAACCGGTCCTGCGCCTCCTATAGGTTGACTCAGCCTCAAATGAGTACCTGGTGCAGTGGTGTGTAAGCATCGCCACTGGGGAGACAAAGGCGGCCGGGCGTGGCGTTGGCCACTCACCTCACCTCGTGTGCCGAGGCGGCCTTCATAGATGCTGCTCGCTAACAGCACTTTCCCCAACAGTCTGTTAAAGGCTATACGGGGTATCTTTGTCTCTGCCCTTGAAAGTAGGGTTACCGCTTGACGACTCCGGCTTGACAACTCGATCCTTCTCCTCCTCCCCCCACCTCGCCTTGCCCCTTACTGCGCCCCCCCCCCCCTCTCGTCATCGCGGGCCAGGTCTCAACGACGTGCCCATCTGCTCCGTGAACGACGAAGGCTTCATGTCGAGCCCTCGCTACAGCCTCTCGCTGAGCCCCCTGCGCGCCTTGCTGCTGCGCTGCGGCCTCTCGGCGTCGTCCCCGGGGTCACCCGCCGGCCTCGGCCCCCTGCCCTTCGCCCTGCCCTTCCCGGCTACCCCCTCGTCCCTGCAGCAGCAGCAGCAGCACGGCGGTGGTGGCGGTGGCGAACGCGGGTCCGTGCCGCGTGTGGGGCCTGGTACGTGATGGTGCTGATGGTGGTGATGGTGCTGCTGCTGGTGGTGGTGATGGTCCTGGTGGTGGTGATGGTGCTGATGGTGGTGATGGTGGTGATGGCGGTGATGGTGCTGATGGCGGTGATGGTCCTGGTGGTGGTGATGGTGGTGATGGCGGTGATGGTCCTGGTGGTGGTGATGGTGCTGATGGCGGTGATGGTGCTAATGGCGGTGATGGTCCTGGTGGTGGTGATGGTGCTGCTGCTGGTGGTGGTCCTAGTGGCGGTGATGGCGCTGATGGTGCTGATGGTGGTGGTGCTGATGGTGGTGGTGATGGTGCTGATTGTGGTGGTGCTGATGGTGCTGATGGTGGTGGTGATGGCGCTGATGGTGGTGGTGATGGTGCTGATGGTGCTGATGGTGGTGGTGCTTCTGGTGATGGTGCTGATAGTGGTGCTGATGGTACTTATGGTGGTGGTGATGGTGCTGCTGATGGTGCTGATGGTGGTGATGGTGGTGGTAATGGTGCTGCTGATGCTGGTGATCGTGGTGGAGATGTTGGGAGTAGGTGGTAGTGCAAGTATTTGTCTGCTATACATTTCCACACGACGATAAGCCACTTCGTTGAGCTATCATTAGTGATAGCCAGGTCGCTTCTGAAAAAGAGCTGTATAGCTCAGTGGGCCTTACCTGGTAAAATAAAAATAGATGATGTTGGTGGAGCGGTGGTGGTGGTGATGATGGTGGTGTTGACAGAGAGCACAAGGCCACCACTCGCTGAGCACGTGGTAGACCGACACGATTTGTGAACCCGTGCTCTCTGGCCTCTGCCTGCCTCGTACTCCCAACAATTCCCACTACCTCTTCTTGGTTCTTTCGGTAAAGTCACGTAGAAGGGAAATAATAAAATAAAAATAAAACATAATAAAATAATTCTCACGACGTTTCGGCCACAACCAGGTCTGTCGGGGAGACAGCGTCTTTCAGACGCTGTCTCCCCGACAGACCTGTTCTTCATCTGAGGACGGCTGCTTGCGTTGTGGCCGAAACGTCGTGAGAATTATTTTATTATGTTTTATTTGTATTATTTTCCTTCTACGTGACTTTACCGAAAGAACCAAGAAGATGAATCCCTGCAATAACGAAAGCTTTAAATCGAAATTCCAACTACGTCGCACTCCTATCGTGCGAAAAAAAATGCGAAGGTTCGACGAATTCGTCGGTCGGCCACGCGTTCTGCCACCGGCAACCACAGCCTCATTTTCCCTGCATGAATTCACGTTCCGTGTAATTAACTTCACGTGTCAAGCGAAACACGAGTCGCCACCTTCCAAAGAATTCGCTCGCCCACCGCCTCCGCCCGACGGGCGTTAGCCAACTAAGGACGACCGCGCTCAGATCGCCCGGGTTCACAATCAGGATCTCCATTCAGGCCGCTTTGAAACCCGATGAGCTGTGAAGCTCTTTATCGCAAGACGTATCAGCAATGGGCGGGGGCGATTAAGGGGCGTCGCTCTCCCTCCCCCCCACCCCGTCCAGTGTCTCTCACAGACGCGTGGAGAGACGAACTGCGGGAGCTCACGGAGAGAGCCGGTTTCCTCGCGCGGCGGGAGAAGAAACCGCAGGTGCGACTTCCTGCAGCCAGAGGGAGCAACGCGCTCGGCGCACAGACAGCCCGCTTGCCTGACACGGCTTCTCCACTGGCACAACCGAGCCGTGCCAGGGCCGTACCCGAGCCAACTCGACGCGGCTCAGGAGGCGCCCAGGGTGGAGCAGGGCATGGCCCGGTGGCAGGGTGTGGTAGAGTGGGGCAGGCTGTGGTTGGGTGGGGCAGGGTGTGGTAGAGTGGGGCAGGCTGTGGTTGGGTGGGGCAGGGTGTGGTAGAGTGGGGCAGGCTGTGGTTGGGTGGGGCAGGGTGTGGTAGAGTGGGGCAGGCTGTGGTTGGGTGGGGCAGGGTGTGGTGGGGTGTGGCAGGGTGGGGCAGGGTGTGGTAGAGTGGAGCAGGCTGTGGTTGGGTGGGGCAGGGTGTGGTAGAGTGGGGCAGGCTGTGGTGAGGTGGGGCAGGGTGTGGTAGAGTGGGGCAGGCTGTGGTAGAGTGGGGCAGGGTGTGGTAGAGTGGGGCAGGCTGTGGTAGAGTGGGGCAGGGTGTGGTAGAGTGGGGCAGGCTGTGGTGAGGTGGGGCAGGGTGTGGTAGAGTGGGGCAGGCTGTGGTTGGGTGGGGCAGGGTGTGGTAGAGTGGGGCAGGCTGTGGTAGAGTGGGGCAGGCTGTGGTAGAGTGGGGCAGGGTGTGGTAGAGTGGGGCAGGTTGTGGTGAGGTGGGGCAGGGTTTGGTAGAGTGGGGCAGGCTGTGGTTGGGTGGGGCAGGGTGTGGTAGAGTGGGGCAGGCTGTGGTTGGGTGGGGCAGGGTGTGGTAGAGTGGGGCAGGCTGTGGTTGGGTGGGGCAGGGTGTGGTGGGGTGTGGCAGGGTGGGGCAGGGTGTGGTGGTGTGGGTGGGGCAGGGTGTGGTAGAGTGGAGCAGGCTGTGGTTGGGTGTGGCAGGGTGTGGTGGGGTGTGGTAGAGTGGGGCAGGCTGTGGTTGGGTGGGGCAGGGTGTGGTAGAGTGGGGCAGGCTGTGGTTGGGTGGGGCAGGGTGTGGTGGGGTGTGGTAGAGTGGGGCAGGGTGTGGCAGGGTGGGGCAGGGTGTGGTGGGGTGTGGCAGGGTGGGGCAGGGTGTGGTAGGGTTGTGGCAGCTTGTGGCTGGGTGTGGTGGTGTGGGTGGGGCAGGGTGTGGTGGGCTGTGGCAGGGTGGGGCAGGGTGTGGCAGGGTGGGGCAGGGTGTGGTGGGGTGTGGCAGGGTGGGGCAGGGTGTGGTAGGGTTGTGGCAGCTTGTGGCTGGGTGTGGTGGTGTGGGTGGGGCAGGGTGTGGTGGGCTGTGGCAGGGTGGGGCAGGGTGTGGTAGACTGGGGCAGGCTGTGGTTGGGTGGGGCAGGGTGTGGCGTGACAGGTGAGGTATTGTGTGGTAGGGTTGTGGCAGCTTGTGGCTGGGTGTGGTGGTGTGGGTGGGGTAGGGTGTGGCAGGGTATGGTGGGGTGGGGCAGGGTGTGGCAGGGTGGTACAGGGTGGGGCAGGGTGTGTTAGGGTGAGGCACGGTGGGGCGGTAGGGGGAACGCAAGGATGACAGCTTGCGCCGGGCACCAAAAGCCTCCCTCTACATTAGGCTCACAACTTTTTGTTTCTGCAACCTCCCCCCCATCCCCGTTGTGTTTCGGCAACAGCAGCCGGAGGGTCCGGCCCTGAGACCGGGGACTCGCTACTCCCTCGCCACCGGTCGCATCGTCCCGCCACCCAGCCGCGCCGCGTCCCGCACCCCGGGACGCCTCTCCTCCCGCAACGGGGCGCGCGACCTCGCCGCCCACGGTGACCCCGACCACGAGCTCCTGGTGAGCGTCAACGGCACCGGAGACTCGGAGGTTCTGACAAGTGGGGGGTGGGAGATTCCCGGGACGAAGGACGGAAGGTCCAACCGCTCGCACCACCGGCGCTTTGGTTTGTTTGTCCTTGCTACCGCGCCTCTGATTGGCACGGTTGGCGACGTACGGTGCGAAAGAAGTTCAATACACCATACGTACAGTATATACCAGCCAGATAAACAACTTTAATTGATCGTCATTGTCGTCATCGTCAGGCGCGACCAGGTGCTAGGTGGATCGTTACCATCGCCAGGACCTCAATCCAGCAGTGGATTGATCATGGCTGATGATGATTACGCCCGGCTCACTCTCATCCTCACCTCGCGCCCCCCCCCCCCCCCCCAGTAAACATAAACATGCAAACGTTGGGCCGACGTCGAGCCAACGTCAGTCCAAAACATCAATCAACGTCTTGGGCCGATGTTTTACTCGGGTCCTCACGCGGGCGGGGGGCCTCGCGAACGCGCGGCGACGTTTTAATGACCGAGCGGTCGGGCACGCGATGTCCAGCGTCTCTCCCCGCCTGGTCAGTAAATCGCTTCGTTAGAGAGGCCCACCCGTCTGACCCCGCGGGCGGTAAATATCCCCGCGGCGCCTTTGTCCAACCGGCGCGGCGCCATGTTTGCCGAGCTCGAACGTGCCAGCGCGTCGCCAAATCCGGTGAATGAAAATCCGCCGAGGCCAATGGACACAAGCCGGTAGATTTACCGCGAGGAGATCTATTTTGGACTGCCAGACTTGCTCAAGTACAGGGGGTGCTTAAAAAAAATGGAACCTAACTCGTTGGTAAGTAGAGGAGTCACTGTATGTAGAACTGCTTTCTGAGCGTACGAAGCCAACCGTGTTAATCGGAGGTGCGGGCGGGGGACACACAAACTAAACACAAATAAAAATTAACCCGTAAAAACAAAGTTTTTCGCTATAAATCCTTTATACGCGTGGCATCGGTTTTATTTTATTATTCATTTCTGTTTTTCCTGAGTAAGAGTTTCATTTTTATCACATTGGTATTTTAAATTAAATATGACATTTTTTTTCCCTAAAAAGTGTAAAATTTAGGAAATTTTTTTTCACGAAAATCAATTGTCACGCACAACGGGTCTGTGTGCAAAATGTCAGCTCGATTGGATCACGGGAAGTGGGTTAAAAAACGACCGAAAGATTTGCACGGTCGTAAGCGCGCAAGCAAGCAAGTGAACTTAATATAAAGGATTTAAAAATGGAACCTAACTCGTTTGTAAGTAGAGGAGTCACTGTATGTTGAACTTTTTTCTGACCGTACGTAGCCCATACTCTTAGGTTTTTTTCGGTAAAGTCACGTAGGTAAAAAAGTAAATAATAATACAAATATAAATAATAATAGAAATAAAATAATAAATCACGATGTTTCGGAGGCAACACAAGTCTCCGTCATCAGGTGGGACCGTCACAGCTAGATTTACTGTATCAAGTGAGGAGAAATCCAAGAGACAAGCTCTTATATACTAGTTAAGGGGGAGGGGGAGGAGGGGCTTTTCTGAATGTGGTAGCCAATGAATGGAACGGTGGGGGGGGGGGGGCTAGAAGGGAAGAATTGGTGCACCTCAACTTGGGGTTGCGGCCGGTGTTAGCTGACAAATCCAAATTCAAAATAGCAGCGCTGTTAAACGCTGGGGATGTCACACTCGGTAAAGTAGAATAGTACCTGTCAAATAAGATGGTACAAATGTGTGTAGTTAAATCTTTTTTACATGGTTAATAACATCTTCATCTTCTTGGTTCTTTCGGTAAAGTCACTGTGACTTTACGGAAAGAACCAAGAAGATGAATCCCTGCAGTCACGAAAGCTTTAAATCGAAAAATAATAACATCTTTCCAATGATTACTCAGTTAGTACCCATCATCACGGTTGAAGTTGTGTCTGTGTTTGTATATCTGGATGGCTTCGTGTACAAACCGTGCTAATCAGAGGTGCGGCAGGACACACACACACACTAAACACAAAAAGCAGTTTTACATCGATGACAAATCTCCAAAACGATCTGTGATATACCACGGCTGTCTAGAAAATTGATGGGTGGTTGTCAGGGGTGATGGGGTAATTCTGATAACGGTGTCATTCTGGATAGAACAGCACAATCACATGAATGGAGTATAATTCGAGGTATGCCAGTACAATGACTGTGGCGTAATTCCGGGAATTACGGTGTAATCGACCTTTTTTCAAAAACGTCAACTCTGTGTGTGACTTTCGACGAACAGCGGTGACAAAATCTGCTGTCACGTTCTGCTAAAGGCGGTGCTAGTTTGGTGATATAACGGCGTGTGCGTGTGCTCGTGCGCTCTTCCGACAGGTGCTGGAACTGCTGTGTCAGATCCTGCAAACCGACTCCATCTCAGCCGTGAAGGAGTGGCTGCTGGCGGCTGGGCCACGCGGTGAGCCCACAATCGCGACCGACTTACAAACTCGCTGTCCCACCGTGGTCGAAGTCGTCCATGCATTCTAGATTTAAAGCTCTCACTTGATACAGCTATCGTGCTGTGACGGTTCCACCTGAAGACGGAAGCTTGTGTTACCTCCGAAACGTCGTGATTTTTATTTTATTTTTATTATACTGTTATTAATTCTAATTTTTATCTACGTAACTTTACCGAAAAAACCTAAGAATATCGTCCATGCAGATGGACTATTGCTCTCCGTTCTTTCTGTCCGTCGGTCCGTCCGAAACGCGGGGGGACGCGATGACCCTTTGTAAAGATTGCGCGCTGCCAACGAAGCTTTTGCGTGATGTTGCGTCACCATTATTGGGCTTATCCTACGGGGAAAAAAACCGGTCAAATCGTTGCCCAAATCTCGGGAGGCAAGGACCAGTTCTGCTGTCCCTTGGGGGACCGTGGATGACGTCCGTCAGGGTTTGGCTCTTGAGGTGGCTGAGTCCAATTCTGGACCCGCAGATCTTTGGGCTGGGGTGGGGGGGCACCACGTGGTGTCCCAGGTGGAAGTGCGATCTGTGGTGCTGGGGGTCGGCTTCCCTTTTCCTTTCCTTCTCTTGGCGGCGAACCACTTTCCGAGACGTCGGGACATCGGGTCTCGAAGTGGATACAGCAGCGACACCGCCTGGCTCCTCCGTCTTCGTGACACTGCTGCCTCGTGAATCGCCGATTGAAAACTCATTTCTGTACAACTGCTCCAAATGTGTTCGGCTTGCCGTCCTTCCCCCGCACCTCCACAATCGGCACGTTCGGCCACGTACGCCGCGAAAGGAGTTAAACGCACGCACGGTACATGAACGAGGTCGGCCGCGGGAGCCGACTGGTTGGGAGAGCAGCGTGTGTGTGTGTGCGCTGCCGTGCGTGTCCCGTAGAGAAGGACCTCGTGCTGGCCATGATTCGCATCGCGCTGGAGGATGAGGCGGCACCGCAGCCCCCCGCGCCGCACGCGGACCCCAGGCCCGACTCGCACGGTTCCCTGCGCAAGACGCCGCGGAGCAGGATGGGAAATCGCTCCAGGTGGAAAGGCTTCGCACGCGTGTTTAAAGTGTCTCGTAGAGCGGTGGTGCAGCGGTGAGCGCGCCGCGCCACGAACCCGGCGAGCCGAGCTCGATTCTCGCTCGCCGCCAATAACCAGTGACGATTATCTGAGCCGGTTCTGGGTCTCCCGTAGGTCAACTCGGCCTTAAATGAGCTCCTGTTTTGTAAACATAAGACAGAGGTGGGCGGGCGTGATGCTGGCCATCAACCCCCTCGTGTGCCGTATCGGCTTTCATAGGCGCTCGCTAACAACACTCGCCCCAAGAGTCTATGAATGGCTATGCGGGAGATCTTTGGCTTTGCGTGCGTGAGCGATTGTGTGCCGTGTGCGTCACGGTTGGTGAGATGTTATGCAGGAGGTCCTGGGTTCAATCCCGACCCTGACGCCTGCTGCTGTATATTTGGAGTTTGCGGTGTCTCTCTCCCTGTGGTCGCGTAGATTTTTATTTTCCGGGTCCTCCGGTTTTCCCCTCCACATTCATACACGTGCGTTGAGGAATATTTGGCTGCTATGAATGTCCACATGATAAGCCACTGAATTGGGCTATCACTTGTGATAGCCAGGTCGCTTCTGAAAAAAAGAGCGACGTAGCTCAGTGGGCCTTACTCGGTTTAATTAAAAGTTAACTTGCCTTCATCTCAGAACGGGAACGGGTTAATGGCTATCCCGGGGATCTTCTGTCTCCGCGTGCGAGAGTGATCGACCGCGTGCCCGCGTTATCTGCCGCCAGGAGACGCCGCAACTGACGCCATGACTCTTATTGCAGGTCTGTCGAGGCCCACGTTCCAGAGTCGATCCCCGAGGAGGAGGAACCAGGTTCTCCGTGGCAATTAGCGCATCGCTGACCGCACGCACACTGACGCTTCACGATGCTCACCCTTGCACGTCATTACGCTCCGGGCTGCCCATCCAGCGCGGCTCTCGTGACGTCAAACCGTCCGGCAGTCACGGCTGCTAGTGACCCTCGCTAAAGGGTCCTTTTGGCAGAGCTCCTGAAACACACACACTTGAAACGTGCTTGTACCCTTCACCGAACCACCTTTCCACTCATTCATTGGCTCAATACATAATTCGTTTGGCCGAATACTCCCGATTAGCACGGTTGGCTTTGCATTCATACGTAGAGTAGTGCCGGATTAAGCTAGTGCGGGGCCTGTAGCATATGTTATAAAGGGGCCCTAAATAAAAAATCACTTAAATATTAAAAGACAAATTTGTAACTTGCGTAGTAAATAATTGTGTTTTTTCATTTGCTATACAGCCAGATAATACGATAACATCGCTAACCTTAAACACCCATTCTAGATTTGAAGCTTTCGTGACTGCAAGGATTCATACTCTTTGGGTCATTCTGTTTACAGGAAAGCCACCCACACAGATGCCTACTTGAAGCCTGATTCCCACCACCACCCGGCTCAAAAGAATTCCCTTCTTTTTTAACCTACGTGACATTAAACACCCAGTCGTTCATAAAAGTTGAAGGCGGTATAGTACTATAGTAATAGAGCAAGTGCAGAATCACTGAACCGGAATTAATAGCTTGAAAGCATTTAGCGCGGGGCCCTTGAAAGTGCTGGGACCGTAGCATATGTAGCTACTTTTGCTACGTGGATATAATCCGACACTGATGTAGAGGGCTGCAGAGCTTGGGCAATTGCCGGCTCCGGCTCGCTGCCAGGCTGTTGTCTTCCTTGTCTCTGATTCCTCGGCGAGTGTGAGACGCACAATTTGCACGAACGGCACCACCAATATAAAAGAAAAATGATTATTAAGGCTTGAATCATTCATGCAGTTTGCAAACCAGCGTGCCACCGCTCCACCCCTTCCTATCGTAGACCAGCGTGAATGACAATTCTGGTGATTGCATTTATTTCTTTATTTTCCGTTGCTTCCTCAGTTTCTTTGAATTGTTGCTCAACCAAAGACGGGACCCCTTTGAGATGTTTTTTTGACCGAGGATTTCTCCGGTCCGTCCGTTTTTTTGTCACTGACGACGACGCAGAGAGAGTCGGCGATGCCGAGGTGCTCACGATCCAGAGGTCCTCGTCGGCCGACGACATCACCCGCTCCGCCGCCTCCAGGCCCCGAGCGCCGAGAGCCTCCGCCGGGCCTCCGGGCGCAGCCCGTGCGGCCGAGCCGGACGTCGCGCCGGCCTCGGCGTCGGCCAAACCACGCAGCGGCAGGAAGACGGAGCAGCAGCAGCAGCAGCAGCAACAGCACCAGCTGCCTGCCGCACCTGTCGATGCTAAGCTCCGATACACCAAGACCCCTCACACGCCCAGCGAAAGCGCGCAAAGACCTGCCCAGCCTAAGCACAGCGCAGCCCAGATGTGATGGAGTGTGCGGGGCGGGGGGAGCGGCGGCGAAGCGGTTAGCGCTACGCTGCGCTACGAAACCCGGTGACCCGAGTTCGATTCCCGCTCACGGCCAACAGCACCGGTGTCGATTATCTGAACCGGTCCTGGGCCTCCCCCAGATCGGCTCAGCCACAAATGAGTACCTGGTGCGGTGTGTAAACATCGCCACTAGGGAGACAAGGGCGGCCGGGCGTGGTGCTGGCCACCCATTCCCTCGTGTGCCGTGCCGACCTTCGTAGGTGCTCGCTCAACAGCACTTGCCCCAGCAGTCTATTAAGGCTACACGGGTGGATCTTTGTCTTTGTGTGTGTCAAGAGCCTCGTACGACAAAATTCCACCAGGCACGGATTGCGAGCCGTCAATGACGTGTTGGCAACCACCGAATGTCCGTCTGTGTAAAACACCGATGCTTGCCGGTCAGGAGAGAGGAAATCCACGGTTTGGTTGGAAAGCGGGAAGCCGGCCCGTGCCTGTCGGCTTGTTCGGCGAATCGGCTCAGGTGTGTGTGAGAGAGAGATCGTTACCGTGGTCGCCAGGTGAGATAATTCCGTTGCCAGCGGTAACTACGTGTACGCGCGCGCAGGCAAAATAATAGTGGTGCCGGTTTTCTCCAGGAGGCAAATATCTGCAGAAAAAAAGAGGGTCGCAATCCACCCATCACTGCACAATTATATAACGGGACCTTTTGGCACTATCAAAGTATGACAAAATAAGAATAGGTTTTACACTTTCTGGCTATAAACAGGTGTAAACCTACACCAGTAAAATTTAGACTTCATTTTTTTGATCTACATATTGTGCAGTATTACAAAATTAGAAAAGGTTTTATTTTTTTCTGGACATAAAACAGGTGTAAAGCAGGTGTTTTATTGCCAGAAAGGGTAAAACGTATTCTTATTTTTTCATACCGCACGATATATCAATAAAATTGAAGTCTAAATTTTACTGACGTAGGTTTAAAAATGTTTATTTTTACTTGAGTCTCTACTTAATGAATCGCACTTCCGTGCGATAACCTTTTTCTGACCAGCCAGTCAGCTCACGATTTAATCTTTTCGGCGGAATAAAACCGGCACCACTAAATGATCGTAACGTCTGGTGATTACCGACACACGGCGTGGACTCCGAGGAGAGTGGCGTACATTAAAAAAGTAGTTCCGCATTTCCACTTAGGCGCGTTAATATTTGTTGTTTTAACCTTAGGTCGCGCAAAGCGAGCGAATGTGCTCGATGCGCTTGGGCGTCTCTCGACTATTTGAAACATCGAAAGACATTTCCGCTTTTTAAGGCATCTTGATCGTTTTTTTAGTTTGTTTTCAAGGTCAATTCACGACCTCTTTGGAATGTGCCAAAAAAAATAGGTCCCCGTGTGCACACCACTCCAAAGTGCTTTCTTTAGCTGAGCTTGGCATTTTCAAAACGTAAAAACCGAGCTGGCAAGAGACAACCCTTCGTTAACTTGGCAGAAACATTTCGGATCGCTCGCGGTATGATGATATCCCTTGCTCAGAAGCCTGTTGCGTGAATGCTCTTTGGTTCTTTCGGTAAAGTCACGACGTTTCGATTGGCAACACAAGCAATCATCATCAGGTGGGAAAACCACAGCAAAAAAATTATTGCTGTGGTTTTGCCAAAAAATGTTATTGCTGTGGTTTTCCCACCTGATGATGATTGCTTGTGTTGCCAATCGAAACGTTGTGATTTATTTAATTTTCTACCTACGTGACTTTACCGAAAGAACCAAAGAGTATGCTTGTGTGGAAATGCTTCTCCCCCATAGATGTGATTATTCCTGACCCTAACCCCCCCCCCCCCCCCTCTTAGCCCAGTTGCAATGAAATGTACTCGTGGCAGATGCATACAGAGCACAAATTCAATATCAGCTGACATGCAACATTATGGGTTTAAACAACATATAAGGTGAACTCCGTTGTGTCTCCACATACAAACGCTTTTTTTTGAGCCCATACCAATATTACCAAACCGCAACTGTTTGGACAAACTCCGGACCGGTTTTGACCCTTCTGGGAATCATCAGCCGCGAAGTGCCCCGTTAAACAAACGCTGCCCGATTACCAGATGCTCTCATTGGCAGGAGCGCTCCTGTCTAACCAAACCGAACAGGAACTCAAACAACTCGCCACGCATTGCCGTGGGGCTTTGTGGGGAGTAAAGCCTCTTGACACGGTCCCGCACGGGACGGGGGGGGGGGGCGATTGCACCCGCCCTGTGGACGATTCCCAGGCTGAAGCCACGGTAGCCACGAGGAGCTTCCTTGGTCGGAATTTGATGGATGCGCTGGGCCACGCAGAAGCCACGCGTGCCTTGGTGGACGTGACAGCCTTGTCGGGTGGGCAAAGGGTTAACGACGACTGCATGAAGCCACCAGCACCAACCACGTGGCCCTAACCCAAAAAAACAATTCTGGATACTGGGGAAGAAACGAGTGGAAAATCGATTTTTTATTCAAAGTCTCTGTTGGTCTCCCACCGATCTTGTTACCGCTCGGTCACGTGTCCCGGCACTTCTTCGCTGTTGTCCAAAGGGTCGTCGCTCTTGCGGTTATCCGACCGCCCGATGAGAGGAACCCTCGAGCGGGCTCGTTGAAATCCAGCGGCGTATCTGGAAATGGATCACCCCCCGTGTTTTTTTTTCCGCGGGATACGCTCATTTGCCGTTCGGTTGAAATATCGGCGGAGAAAGAGAGGTTTCTTGCAGAGGCGTGCAAAGTTGTGTTTTGGGTCAAAAGTAGCTGAAAATACCGTACAAATTGTATTTTCTAAGCAAGCAGATGTCAGAATCAATGTTTTTCAGACGTAGATTCAAAGTAGGTTTTATTTGCAATGGAATATTCACGTGTCCAACTTCACCGTGTGTCGGCAGATGTTCTATATCTGCTTAATAAAAACAAACGGCATTCGCAACTTTATGTGTGACTTTTGTTCCCCCCCAACTTTTATCCCGATTTGTGCCATCGGTGTCGCGTCACGCGATGGAGGCCCCATTTGGAACTCTCTTAGAGCAGTGGGTCACTCCGCGTTGGGAGGGAGAGTGGCCCGCAGGAGTGGATATCGCAAAAAACACTTTCGAGATCCCACCCTGCTAGAGAGAACGTTCCTTGCATTACGGAAGGCCTCCGATTTTTTAAATTTTATTTCTCAGAGCAGCAACAAATTTAAATTTGACGATTCTTTTCGCGCGATCATTGGTGACCAGGCCGAGACCATCAAAAAGCACTGCACATGAGAACCGGTCTAACTCGCCGTGACCGGTTGCAACCCAAGGATCTCGGTAGCCGCCTGGCGACCTCTTCATATACCGCAATTTAAAAATAAAATTTAAGCTAAAATAAATACAAAACTTTCGTAAAACATTTCACTTGCACTTCTCCAAGAAGACGCAACCTGCAGGCATGGGTGGCCCCGTGGACGTGTCCGACGCTGCGGTGAGCCACGTGAATTGTTCACGATGGTCTCCGTCACAGCCTTTCCCCCCCCCTCGCCCTCCCGTATACTCTCCCATCGCCGATTTGGCCGGATGTTGGAGTTCCGGCCTCGTCGATTTGTTCTGTTGTCACTCGCACCGATCAGACCACCGTCCGCACCTCCTAGCAATGCTCGCCTATGATTAATTCTGGCAGATTTCCCTTGGATTTCCCGTGTCGCGACTTTCCCGTCTCGCTAGATTCACGTCGTCGTTCACCGTCTCTGGGGAATTCGACCCGTCTCCTAAGGCCTCCGATAAGCACGGTTGGCTAGGGACGGTGCGAAAGAATCTTCTTGGTTCTTCAGTAAAGTCACGTAGAAGGGAAGGTGTGGCCAAAACGTCGTGAGAATTATTTTATTATGTTTTATTTTTATTATTTTATTACTTCCCTTCTACGTGACTTTACCGAAAGAACCAAGAAGATGAATCCCTGCAGTCACGAAAGCTTTAAATCGAAAAGGTGCGAAAGAAGTTCAGCATACATACACGTACATTGATAAGCGAGGGCAACTTGAGAGCAATTTACAGCCTCAATAGTCACCAGCAAGTTTCTGCACCATTTGAATGATTAATGATATCTAACAGCCTTTTATCAATCCACTGCTGAATGACTGCATTCCGTACACTGTGTTGGTTATGGGAGTTGATTGACCATACTTTACCACACCGGTAAAAAGAGCACGGTGAAGGGTGCGCGGTAGGAAAGGGAGGCCTCGAACCGGTGAAGATGTCACGTGCCACCTATGTTCGGTCACTTGTGCACTTACCACTGTGCCCTGAGTGCGCAACAGGGATGGCAACCTCCAATCAGATCACGGGCACAGGTTACGTGGCTACCCCGGGGGTTTCTGTGCTTTGCAGACCAATCGCCGTCCATACAAAGCACATTTTCAACAAACTCCCTTTTCATTGGCTGGAAAGAAATCCGTCGGCTCACCGCCACTGTCGCTCACAGTGAATGCGCTGACCGGTGACGATTGCTAGCAACGGTTGCCCTAAAATTGCCCGAGCGCAGGGATGGGGGGGCGGGGGAAACCTTTCCTTAACGAGGGCCGAAAAAGGACAGTCGAGTAACTTTGGCAAGGCGACCACACATCGGCACGCACCTTTGCCAGTTGCTCGGAAATAACGCAAAAAATGTACGCGGGCTCCTCGGCCCGACCGTTACGAAAGCGGCGACGCCCTGCGCCCGCTCCCCTCTCGCCAACGCGGTGCCCATGTCGTGTCGCGGCTCCGCAGCAGATAAACACGTGGCCGCGGCGATGGGACACGGAGCGCCTGCGCGGCTGTTTTGCAGTCATCAGTCTTGGCCCACGTGGTCCCGGGGGCGAATGAAACGAAGCCGCGGGGGGCTGTGTGTCGTAGGTTCCCCGCCCAGCCCTGCCAGAGTGTGTCACGCGGCCTTTATAGATTCAAGGAGCTTCAAGTCACCATATTGATGAGGTTTTCCTTGTTGCTAAGTTCACCCCGAACCTGCCCCCCCCCTCTCTATTCTTCACATTCGACCGGTCTTCCACTTCCATATTAATTTGATCTCCAATCTCAGGATTTAGATAATTTCCTATATCCATATCCACATTCACTGCATCTCCAATCTCCAACGAGTCTCCCTGTTTATACATTCACCGAGTCTCTCTTTTCCACATTCACCGCGTCATCTCCCATCTCTGGACGCAACGAGTCTCGTATCTCCGCATTCACCGATTCTTTCTTCTCCGGATTCACGTCTGGATCTTCCCCCCCAGGATTCACCGGGTCCCCCATGCCAGGATTCACCGATTTGCTCTTGCCCAAATCCATTCCATCCCCCATCTCCAGACCGAACGAGTCTCCCGTTTCCGCATTCACCGATTCTCTCCTCTCGGGATTCACCCCGGGGCCTCCCGTCTCCGCGGCGTCTCCGCCGTCGTCTCGGCAACGGCACTCGCGGTCCTCGACGACGACGGCGGCGGCGCCGTGGCAACCGTTCTCGTCGCTCGTTGCCGGCGGAGAGGCCTTGTGGGTAATGGGGACGACCTGCTTGCGGTCGGGCAGCACGCGGAGGAAGGCGCCGCGCCAGTCCCCCAGGTCGAGGTACGCAAGGAGGATCTCGAACACTGAGAGCGGCCGGCCGGGTGGGGGGGGGTAGCGGAGAGAGCAGGAAAACACAAAGAAGAAATAAATCACGCGCACGCACGCGCACGCATCGTCTTAACGATTCCCAATGACGGCGTCCGTCTTCGGACAGAGTGTTTAATTAGCGGCGGAGAAGCTGACGGGTGCTGTCAGGACAAATGTAATTTGCATGCATTCACAAAGTAGACAAAAGCGTTTTCTACTTAGCTCTGGTTTCTTACGGCCAAGTTTTGGGACACCCTTTCATTAATGTGGTCGGTTTTCAATAGGCTACATGCCTATAACAGTAACACAACTGTGTTACTGTTGATGTATGCACGTATATATTTTTGCAGAATCTTTTCATCCAAATTGTATTGTCAGCAGAGGGGAGTGTGGAAAAAGTGATTGCTGTACTACACTCCTATGGCTCTCCCCGTGCTCAGCAGTCTGATGAAGTATGATCAAAACCCCCTTTGACCAGCATGGCATTTGGGGAGGCTTTCATCCAGCAGTGGATTTACAGAGGCTCCACACGTACATTTTCACGTGGATGAGAAACATGGACGTGTATGTATGCATGTTGGATCTTTTGCACTGTACGTAGCCAACCGTGCTAATCGGAGGAGCGGGTGAAGGACGACCATTAGTGTCTTCTTCAACCTCAGCTGGAAAGCGTTAAGAAATGATTCAAATTCAGGCGAGATACATTCACACACAGGTGACAAAGATCCTTCTGGGCCAACATTTGTGAGTGAGCACCCATGAGGATAGAACAATTTCACACAACGGCAATTTCTTGCCACGGTAATGTAATGACGTGTCCGGAGGCCCCGCTGTGAACCCACTGCTGGATAAGGGCCCTCTGCATGCCGTACGACTCGTGGGGCTTGATTGACTATACTCCACCACGCCGGTCAAGATGCGGGAGTGTAGAAGTACAGTCCAACAATTGTTTTTTCCGCACTGCTCTCTGCTGCCCGCTGTGTAGCGCAGCCTCGCAGCCACCGCACGGCACCCTGTTTGAGCGCTGTGGTTGCACATCCAAGCGCTATCCAGGCTCTAACCTGCTCAGCTTCCGAGATGTGATGAGATCGGGATGCATTCTGGGTGATTCGGTCACAGGCGAAGGATAATAATAACCACACTTTAAACTGAGAGGTGGCCCCCCCGCTTTGAACAAAAAGTCAACAACGCTCATCGATAACACTCCACCAGAGAGGAAACGTAGATATTTATAAAAACACGACAGTTCAAGCAATGGTCCTTCGGCGTAACGTTTAACGCGCCATTAAGTGGCGGTGACATCACCACGGTGCTTGCGCCAGACTAGGTGCACTTTGGGGCCACGTGAAGTGTCGAAGGCTCGCTGGCGACAGATCCAGGTGCCACGAGTTGCCTGACTGAGACGACTGGCAGATGCACCAACTGTGCTCCCCACAGTGCCAACTCTCTGCGTTTTAACGAACAAAGACCCCCCCCTCCCCATACACCCTTAACAGGCTGTTGGGGCAAGTGCTATTAGTGAGCCCCTGTGAAGGCCGGCACGGCACAGGAGGGGGGAGGATGGGTGGCCAGCACCACGCACGGCTGCAATTGCCTCCCCGGTGGTGATGTTTACACACCGCACCAGGTACTCATTTGAGGCTGAGTCGACCCGAGGGAAGGCCAGGACCGGTTCAGATAATCATCACTGGTGTTGGCCGTAATCAGGTTCATAGTGCAGCGCACTAACCGCTACACTACCACTCTGTGTTTTAACACACATACACACACACATATACCAATACCCGCCATTCGCCACTAAGTGACAGTGATGTCACTACAGCGCCAGTGCCAGGCCAGGTGCACTTTGTGTACTAGTACTAATAATAATATACACGTATACACATACACACACGCTGTAAGATGAAAAGTTATTGAGATAGACCCAAAGTGTGTAAATCTGCAAAAAAGATGTCAATCACGAGGTCACAATGACCTTATAGCTCGCAGCGCAAACAGGAGTGGGTCAGACTTGGCAGTTCCAAAGGCACCAAAATACAAAGATCCCCCGTATTGCCGTAGAGACTATTGGGGCAAGTGGTGTTAGCGAGCACCTATTGCAGCTGGCATGACCTCGCGATGAGGTGGTGTTGCCAGCACCACGCTTGCCTACCTTTGTCTCCCGATGTTTCTACATCACACAAGGTACTGATTTGAGGCTGAGTCGACCTAGGGGAGGCCCAAGACCGGTTTAGATACTCGTCACCGGTGTTGTCCATGAGCGGGAATCGAACTCGGCTTCGCCGGGTTCGTAGCGCAGCGCCCTAACCACTGTGCCACCGCTCGCCACACACACAGAGACACGTTACAAACAAAGATTCCCCGTATCACCTTAACAGACATTCGGGGGCAAGTGCTGTTAGCGAGCAGCACCTATGAAGGTCGATACGGCGCACGTGGGGGTGGGCAGCCTGCACCACGTTCGGCCGCCTTTGTCTCCCTCGTGGCGACGTTCACACACCGCACCAGACGCTCACTTCAGGCGCACTAACAATACCCTCGAGACACACACGAAGACAGAGATCCTCTGTTGCTTCAAGTGCTACAGCGAGCACACGGATACGGATACAAGACAAAGTTCCCCCCTGTATGAATCGTCAACTGTTGGGGCAAGTGCTGTTCGCAAGTAGCAGCACCTATGAAGGCCAGCACTGTGGCACACGAGGGGGGTGGAGGGTGGCCAGCCGCCTTTGTCTCCCTTGTGGCAATGTTTTTTTGTTTTGTTTTACAAGCCGCACCAGGTACTCATGTGAGGCCGGCTCGAGTGGGACCTGGGGGTCGCCGCGGTTACCGTGGTTGACGGTGAGGACCTTGCGGCTCGACATCTTGACGTAGTCGTCGAGCGGGAGACGAGCGTGCTCCACCTGCAGCTCCTCGGCCTTCTGCAGCGTCAGGCCCTGAGAAGACGACGACAACGACGATGAGAACCTCATTTGCCAGTAAAAAATTATAATTGTTTTTTTACCCTTCTATCTGGCAACAAAACTGACACCTTTTTTTACAAGGAGTCATGTTTGCATAGACCACAATACCTGCAGTCATAATGCAAACAAAAAACATAACTCTGTATGCCCTGTTCTTGAAGTTGATTGGTCCACACCCGAGACAGCTTTCCTTAGAGCCTAGTCTCACATGGTGTTGGACCAGATGACGCCAAAAGGCGCACAACTCAAAGACAACGCACCATCAGAGTATGAGAGCTCGGGGCAAGCATTTACACCATTGGAACCTCATTTGCCAGTAAAAAATATGATAATTGTTTTTTTACCCTTCTATCTGGCAACAAAACTGACACCTTTTTTTACAAGGAGTCATGTCAGTTTTGTTGCCAAATAGAAGGGTAAAAAACCATTTATCAACGACGCTGAGGTCAACGACGATGAGGTCCACAACAACGACGGTGACGACGACGACGGGGAGTGGTGGCACAGCGGATAGCGTGCCGCGCTACGAACCCGGCGACACCCCCCACCCCCCACCCCCCACCGAGTTCGATTCCCGCTCACGGCCAACAACACCGAGTGACGATTATCCGAACCGGATACTTGGCCTGAGTGCACGCTTGAGTGTACATACAAATGACATGAATGTGTAATCACACTAATCTACACACGCACACACGCAGGCATGCGTGTGTGTGTGTGCGTACATACAAATTAGTGGGAATTGGTAGTGTAGCGGTTAGCGCACTGCTCTATGAACCCGTTGATCCAGGTTCGATTCCCGCTTACAGCCACCACCAGTGACGATTATCTGAACCGGTCCTGGGTCTCCCCGAGGTCAACTCAGCCTCAAATGAGTACCCGGTCTGATGTGTAAACATTGCTGCCAGGGAGACAAAGGCGGCCGGGCGTGGTGTTGGCCACCCACCCCTTTGTGTGCCACAGTGCCGGCCTTCATAGGTGCTACTCACTAACAGCACTTGCCCTGGCAGTCTGTCAATGTTATACAGGGGATCTTTGTCGTAGTATTTTGGTCAGCATCACCGTGAGCTTTAGTGCCTCATCCGACAACTCCTCCCCCACCCCCCCACATCGGAATCATCAAGAACGCGTGGCGGACGAAGGGTCCTCGTTGCGCCAACCAGAGTGGAGTGTCCACCGTGCCACCGCGAGACTAGGCCGGCGTCACGGCAGACCTGACGGAGCCACGGGCCGCCCTCGGCGGCGTTTACGAGAGCGGCGAGCGGGAAAGTTCCAGCGGCGATTCAGGAGGAGGAAAGTCCAAAAGGAACGATTTGGAAAAAGGCAAAATGATGTGCAGAGTCTCATCGGTTCGGGAAGTTCGAGTCGGAGAGTGCCCACGGTTTTGGTTCGCTTCCCTCTCTGGGTTCTGCCGATGGTGGGTGCGATTATTATTTGTTATTTGACTCAGAGGGGAAGGCTTGCTCAAGGAAGGTCTACCATCACTCACCACTCTCCCATCACTCACCACCCTCCCATCACTCACCCCCATCGCTCACCGCTCTCCCATCGCTCACCGCTCTCCCATCGCTCACGCACCTCCCGTCGTCCTACCTTGTGGTGGTTGTGATCGACCAGGCCGCCGATGACATACGTGCGTCCGCTCTCCACGCTCGCCAGGGTGTGCGGCGACTCGGACGTGAGGTAGACAAGTTCCGCTGTGGGCACGGCCTCCTCCACGCGCTCCCCTCGCACCTCGATTCCCTGGGTCACGGTCATGGGCGGGGGGGGGGCAGCAGCCTTCCTTACCGAGGGGCCGAAAAAACTTTCAAGTACATACGCGGCGGGCGACCGCACGCAAACACGTGCACTTCGGATCGCTCCCGGCACGGCAAAGAGGCTCTTGCGGTGAGAGAATTCACCGAGTGCGCTGAAATTACATGCAGTGCTGTTCTTGCCAACCCAATAAAAGACTCTCCCCCTCCTCTCCCCTCTAGTACGCGATTAGCGCGGCTAAGATGCTTGCAGTGACAGATAAATACCACGAACTTTGGCACGCCAAACGTTCGTTGATGCCGAGACCCAATTTTGACGGCTTAATCATTTTAATTTTTTCAACCGAATACACTCCGGCTTGCCGGTTGCTGCGGGGCAACCGAATGTCTCATCGGAACCATCCTCGGCGTCGGCCGAGGATGAAGCACCACTCTGGTCCGTGCGGAGTGGTGAAGGTGGGTGAGCAAATACGCGGGAGCATAGAAGTACAGTAAACGGTTTGATCTGCTCACTGTGACGGGGAAGTGTCCACTTCACAAAAGACATCTCATGTCGAATGCATGGCAATGCATGGCAGCTGATGGTAGCGCACGGTAACTAATGGCAACGGATGGTGACACGTGGTCACGCATTGGAAGCGACGGTAAAACACGGTAAAGGATGGTAACGAATGGTAACTGATGGTAGCACATGGTAACCAATCGCAATAGATGTCAACACGTGGTAACGCATGGAAAACGACGGTAACGCTTGGGAATGCATGGTAACTGATGGTAACGAATGGTAACGGATGGTAACACGCGGTAAGGCATGGAAACGAGGTAGATCCCACCTTCCAGTTGAGGTATCCGCAATCGTGCATGTCCATGTTTGTCTTCAGCTGCCCGCTGTGACTGGTCAACAGCAGCTGGGGGAAAGTAACATGGCGGGAAGACAAAACAAGTTCAGCAAACAAGTATAACCCGTAAAAACAAAGTTTTTCACTATAAATCCTTTATATGCGTGGCGGCTAGAGTCCTCTCGTCCTCTGGCTTGAGATGGCTGCCACCTATGGGTCAGATGATTGCCTGCCACCATTAAGCAATTGGTAATTAAATATAATATTTTTGTCCTAAAAAGTGTAACATTTTGGAAAAAAAATTTTCACGAACAATAATTGTCTGGCACAACGAGTCTGTGTGAAAAAGGTCAGCTCGATTGGATCACGGGAAGTGGGTTAAAAAACGACCGAAAGATTTGCACGGTCGTAAGCAAGCAAGCGAACTTAATATAAAGGATTTAAAAACGAGTACGTTGGGTTACTCAACGCTTTGCAACACGCGTTTGATTGCCGACAGACGGCGGCAGCAATACTCCAGGGAATAACGGCATCTGCAATCGCGCAGGTATGTCCATTGTAGCCAGTAAATGTGGAACGTTGGCCCAACGGTGTGAAAGCAGTTCAACGTGGGCCAACGAAAGTCAACATGGGCCAATGAAATAAGTTCAACATGCATGCGCACACACAATGGTGGCCCAACGTTGCAGGTTCACCGGCCTGCCCTGGATGTTTTACGTTTTTGAAAATGTTGTGGCTTTGCTCTCCAACACACCGGTGTGTGCTGTACGAGTAACGAATTGGCACGATCTGTTTACGTGACAAACCTTACTAATTGGCTGTGTCGGGCGGTGGCGGGTTTAACGACACACATTTATATATTCACGCGATCTAACCCCCAAAAAAACAAACCTGTATTGTGGATATTGGTCGCGAAAGCCTAAGTGTTAAACTCACATTTTAGGCAACGCATCTTGTTAATAGCACATGTTGAATCTTGATTTGAAGCACTGGATCACCTTCACGAGGTTGATTGTGCCTCTTTGTCACTAAGACAGTCGCCGCTGATCCATAGCCCACGAAATGTAAAAAAACTCGACAAGAGAGATGCCACACGGCCGGTGAGACGCTGGTGGATCGTTCAGCAATTTTTATTTTTTTAGATTTTACAACTACAGCCGAGAGCAATTATGCATTACCTCTGTCTGTCTGTCATCCGGACAACCATAGTGGGGGAGGAACGGTAACTGTCATAAAGGTGATCCAATACGAACAAAACGTTTCTGTAAAGTCCACTGCTGGATAAAGTCCTCCCAAAGTCGCCACCGCCGCTAACGATCATGCGTTGTAACGATCCATCGACAAGGGGAACGGATTTCGTTGCTCCGTCTCACCCCGCTGGAAACCCTCCCCCCGATGCGCTCCATTCCCCTGTGCGAGCGCCCGCAATTAGCAACGTGCGTTAGCGGCGCTCCGTTCACCTGCACGGAGCGCGCCGCGCGCCGGTTCTCGGCGTAGCAGCGCTGGATCTGCTTGTGCAGCTTCTTGACGTCTCGCAGCAGCATGAGGTCGTCGAAGCCGCAGTCGATGGCGACGCGGACGCCGCTGGGCTCCGGCTCGGCATGCACGCGCTTCCTCGCCGGCTCCTCGCCCCCCTCCTGCTTCCTCCGCTGGCGCCGCTCCTTCCGCTGCAGCCTGGACAGGAACGACACGAGAATTTTCTAAGCGTTTTTTTTTTACCTCTCCCCCCCCCACCTCAAAATTATTATCCAATTGCACAACTGGCATCGTGTAGTCCTGACCGCTGCACGTATAAAGCGCCTTCTAGCTGCAGGAGTCAGCGGACTGCGCCGCACTTGCAGGGGTTGGCACAAGAGGAAGTGTGAGCCTGTTTTCCACGTTCTAGATCTGAAGCTTTCGTGACTGCAAGGATTCATATTCTTAGGTTTTTTCGGTAAAGTCACGTAGGTAAAACATTAAAATTAATAAAAGTAAAATAAAATAAAAATCACGACGTTTCGGAGGCAACACAAGCTTCCGTCTTCAGGTGGAACCGTCACAGCACGATAGCTGTATCAATATATACAAGGACTGTTTTCTTGGAATTTCTCTCACTTGATACAGCAATCGTGCTGTGACGGTTCCACCTGAAGACGGAAGCTTGTGTTGCCTCCGAAACGTCGTGATTTTTATTTTACTTTTATTAATTTTAATGTTTTACCTACGTGACTTTACTGAAAAAACCTAAGAATATGTTTTCCACGTCTCTGAGAGCCGCCACAACGGCGAGATATTAACTACCTCGGCTGGTATACAGGTCGTGGGTTCGATCCCAACCGCCACCTGATATATATTTGTATTTTACACGTCTCTCTCTCTCCCCACGGTCTCGTGGATTTTTCTCCGGGTCTTCCGGTTTTTCCATCCACATTTAGAATCAGCATCACGCATTTAGAGTATTTGGCTGCTATACATTTTTACGTGATGAGCCACTTCGATGAACTATCATTTGTGGCCAGGTCGCTTCTGAAAAAGAGCTCATATAGCTCAGTGGGCCTTGAAAATAGTTGAGAGTTTTTCTAGTTTATAGGAGTTCACGATCTAACAATGATTTGTCCGTTTCATGGAATTTGTGCCCATTGAAAATTGTGAAATGTTTGATTACAGTATTATATAATGCTCACTGTCTCACTTGCATTGTGAGGAAATTTCGTCTCCTCAAGCGAAGAAAACACGCGCACATTTAGTTTGATATACTTAAGGATAGTCTATTTTCAGCAACCACTAACAAATATCGGGTGGTGGAGAGTTATAGTTAAAGACATTTTTTGTTACATCATGCCGACATGATCTAACCCAAAAGAAACGAATTATGATCCAGAATATTGGTCACGGGAGTCTACGTGTAAAATTCACCAAGCCAGGTTGTGGAAGCAGAGTAAAATAAACCCCACACCCGCACGACTTGATTAGGCCCTCATTCAGCAGTGGATTTCCAAAAGAGGCTGTACATTTAGACATGTAAATCAACATATCAAAATCCTGTTTGTCATTGAAATGGTGAAAATGTAAAAAAATTATTCGCATGACTATGCAAACATCCAAAGGTCTGTTAACGTTATCACGGAAACACTGGATCTGGAACGGCCACAGATCAGGATGCCCTGACCTTGACTGCTATGTGTCTTGTTTGAATACCGTGCGTTCACTTGCGCTTATCAGCAACAATCCTGGATCCATCAGATATTTTTCACTAGAAAGTCACTCCGCCGTAGTGTAGCATCCACTCGGTGGCGGTTGTCGAGTTGTACGACGGGCATACATCGTTCTAAATATTAAACCTTCGTTAAGTTTTCCTGCAGTGCAAGCGGTTGGCTTTAACTTTGCAAACCTGCGCTGTTCCCGGCCATCCTCCCACTGCTTCTGTCGCAGCATTTTCTTTCGCTGTCGCTTCGAGACGCCACCATCTCCGGGCTCCTCCGTCACCGCCGCCGCTGCCTCGAGCGACGACGACATTTCACCTGCCGAGTGAAAAACAACACCGCAAGTTTGGCACGTCGAGTTCACCAGCAGTTCGCATCACCTCGTGACCTTGTCGCTCAAAAGAGGGGGGGGGGGGGGAGTGTCGAAGACTTGTCAAGTATAATCTGGTTTACAAGTAAAATTCGACATTGCCCGCCTTGGCTCGTGTGCATGGCGAGCGCTGGGAAGGCGACCCAGCGGAGAATCGCCCAGGAAAAGGTGACGATTCCAGGAGATCTGGCGCCTTGGCCAAGGTGAGTGGACGTGGCGTGAGGTTGACCTTTGACCTCACCTGGAACTCCGCGCAAGCAGCTCCCCTCCTCAACCTCTTCTCCTCCCGACCCCGGAGTTTCTCTCAGCTGCTCCTCAATTTCGTCCATCGCAAAGTCTGAATTCACGCGAAGCGGTCGTCACGAGTTATGGGCCCATCCGCGTGCCAGTTCACCACACCACAATCATCATCATCATCATCAAAATGATCACCACTATCATTACCATTGCCAACATCACATGTATTTGCACGGGTATTTGTCAATTCACTGCTGGTTGCGGACATTCTGTCATGCAAGTCGTTGGGGGTATTTAACCATACTTTACCAAGCTGGTCAATGCGAGTTCGTTAAAATGAAGCATAATTCATCAACTCAATAAGTCACTCACTTATCCATTAATTCCATACCTGTCAACCCGTATTTTTGTACAAGGGAATTGAGTTTTCAGGTCCATACGGCGGATAACCGTTTCAATACGGGCAAAAATGTTTTTGTCTATTTGTGTTTCTACCTTGTGATGGGCTTTGTAGCATGAACGTTGAGATGTATAAGGGGTACGAGGTGACCAATAAGATATGAATTGGTCTGTAATAAGGTAGGCACTGACAAGGGGTTGACAGGTATGCAATTCAACACATATCTCATTTACCCACCTACTTTGCCCACGCTGCCAAAAATTCTCCCACTCACTTTAATTTACTCACCGACCCACCAATCCCATTCATCTCCTCGTCACCAACACACCCACACGCGTGCCATTATCACCATCCCTATCACTTTTACCATCATCACAATCACTTTGATGTCATTATCACTCTCACTATCATCTTTTCGCTATTATCGGAACTACCAGTGGATAAAATAATCAACATCTGGATACGCTTTTGCTGTCAATTTAGGATGTAATTCTAGATTTGAAGCCTTCGTGACTGCAAGGATTCATACTCTTAGGTTTTTCGGTAAAGTCACGTAGGTAAAAAAATATATAATTGAAATAATCGAAATAAAATAACAAATCACGACGTTTCCGTCATCAGGTGGGACCGTCACAGCTAGATTTACCGTCTCAAGTGAGGTTATTATTTCACGTATATTTATTATTTATTTTTTACCTACGTGACTTTACCGAAAAACCTATGAGTATAATTTAGGATGTACTTTTCCACGTCATATGAACGTGGAATTTAAACAGTCGCGAGCATCAGCGGAGACGGTGAGGGGCTAATGAAGCCAATGGTCCTGTTATTGAGAGCGAGACTTCAGGGGTGGGTGACGAGCTGGGGTTGCGTCGAATGAGTTGGGCAACACTCAACTACCGTTCAGTCCTTTTCAGACGATGGTTGGCAATTCCACATTCATATGGCGACACACACACACGCCACTACCACAGCACGCGCGCGTGCAGAGAGCCATTTGATGAACCCCGCTCTGGTGGACTGAGGTCCTTCCCAAAGCCTCGCGAATTGTGACGATTTATCTGCCCGTTTTTCACCACGTCGGTCAGCTCGCGTTGACAAGACACGGGGAGCATAGAAGTGCAGTACAAGCGAGTTTCGCGCACGTTGCTCTCCGCTGTCCCGAAACGTCGGACAGGCCCGTAAGCGGTGTACGCACGGCGTTCGTCAGGTGGTGGTGGTCACCACCCATCCAGGAACGACCCAGAACGCTTCTTTAGACAACTTTGGTGAGCTGTTAGAAGCACGCACCGTGCAAACCTGTAACATTTACCGCAGCGCGCCTCGAAGTAACAACGCAGAGCTTGAGCGTGTCTCCCCCGCCCGCCGGTAACTCGCCGGTCAGTGCGAAACGGGTAAACAAAAAGATTATAATAAAATTAATTTTAATAAAAATAACGAATTATGACGGACAAAATGTAAACACATCGCGTGGGACACGTGCGGATGTGAGGAGGGGGGGTGGAAAAGGGGGGGGGGGGATCGCGGTCCGTTCACGCTCGTCGTTTCCGGGCGACGGAAACCTCGACAATTGCGCGCATAAGGTTCCTGCTCGGCGAGTTTGGTTCCGCTATGTCCCGTGACGTCACCGCCCATGAAGCTTGTGCCCCTCCCCCCCCACCGTTCCAACCCCCGCCCCTCTCCCCCCCACCCCCCACCCGCCCCCTCGATATCAAACACGTGACCTGGGAGGATCCCATCCAAATGTAAATGATTTTGTAATGATTTTCAATGCTTCCCCGCTGCTCGATTTGGATTAAGCAGGGCAGCAGGGAGCAGCGTGCGGAGGTCCTTCCGTAAGCGGCGGAGGAGGCGGGCGGCTCACGGAGCGAACTGAGCTGCTAGCAGCTCTGCAGCGCAGCGGAAGGATGATGGGATGATGCTAGGACGGGGATGGTGGGATGGTGGTGATCATGATGGTATGATGATGCTAGGATGAATATTATGGGATGATCATAATGGGATGATGATCGTAATGGGATGAGGGTGATGCTAGGATGAATATTATGGGATGATCATAATGGGATGATGATCGTAATGGGATGAGGGTGATACTAGGATGAATATTATGGGATGATCATAATGGGATGATGATCAATCTTAATTTGGAACTTTCGTGACTGCAGGAATTATTCTTTGGTTCTTTCGGTTAAGTCACGTCTAAAAATAAAATATGATGATCGTAATGGGAGGAGGATGATGCTAGGATGAATATTATGGGATGATCATAATGGGATGATGATCGTAATGGGATGAGGGTGATGCTAGGATGAAGATTATGGGATGATCATAATGGGATGATGATCGTAATGGGATGAGGGTGATGCTAGGATGAAGATTATGGGATGATCATAATGGAATGATGATCGTAATGGGATGAGGGTGATGCTAGGATGAAGATTATGGGATGATCATAATGGGATGATGATCGTAATGGGATGAGGGTGATGCTAGGATGAAGATTATGGGATGATCATAATGGGATGATGATCGTAATGGGATGAGGGTGATGCTAAGATGAAGATTATGGGATGATCATAATGGGATGATGATCGTAATGGGATGAGGGTGATGCTAGGATGAATATTATGGGATGATCATAATGGGATGATGATCGTAATGGGATGAGGGTGATGCTAGGATGAAGATTATGGGATGATCATAATGGGATGATGATCGTAATGGGATGAGGGTGATGCTAGGATGAAGATTATGGGATTATCATAATGGGATGATGATCGTAATGGGATGAGGGTGATGCTAGGATGAATATTATGGGATGATCATAATGGGATGATGATCGTAATGGGATGAGGGTGATGCTAGGATGAATATTATGGGATGATCATAATGGGATGATGATCGTAATGGGATGAGGGTGATGCTAGGATGAAGATTATGGGATGATCATAATGGGATGATGATCGTAATGGGATGAGGGTGATGCTAGGATGAAGATTATGGGATGATCATAATGGGATGATGATCGTAATGGGAGGAGGATGATGCTAGGATGAATATTATGGGATGATCATAATGGGATGATGATCGTAATGGGATGAGGGTGATGCTAGGATGAATAGTATGGGATGATCATAATGGGATGATGATCGTAATGGGATGAGGGTGATGCTAGGATGAAGACTATGGGATGATCATAATGGGATGTGGATGCGAGGATGATCATAATGGGATGAGGGTGATGCTAGGATGAATATTATGGGATGATCATAATGGGATGAGGATATGAGGATGATCATAATGGGATGAGGGTGATGCTAGGGTGAAGATTATGGGATAGTGATGATGATAATGGGATGAGGGTGATGCTAGGGTGAAGATTATGGGATAGTGATGATCATAATGGGATGAGGGTGATGCTAGGGTGAAGATTATGGGATAGTGATGATCATAATGGGATGAGGGTGATGCTAGGATGAAGATTATGGGATAGTGATGATCATAATGGGTTGAGGGTGATTCTAGGGTGAAGATTATGGGATAGTGATGATCATAATGGAATGAGGATCATGGGATGAAAATGATAATGATGGGATGAGGATACCAGGATGATGGAATGAGGATGATCATGATACTTGTATAATGATAATCATCGTGATACTAGGATGAGGATGGTGCATCAGAGATGATGGTCTTGATGCTAGGATGAGAATGTTGGGATGAAGATGATGCTAGGATAATGATGGGATGAGGACGATGTAGGAATAGCAATTTTCTGAATAATGTTAAGTAGGGATTAACCGACCATAATAGAGGTTTTTAGGTTGGATCGCGTAAATATGTAAATGTGTCGTTAAAATCCACCACCACCCGACACAGCCAACCAGTAAGGGTTGTCACATAAACAGAACGTGGCCAATTCGTCGCTAGTGTCGGATGGTGGCGGGTTTTAACGACGCATTCGTATATTTACGCGATCTAACCTAAAAACCTCTATTATGGATGATATTGGTCGCGAAAGCCTCCTCCGTGTTAAAAAAGGGATTAACCGAGTCAGGTATAAATGTTGAACTTCTTTCGCACCGTACGTAGTCAACCGTGCGAATCGGAGGTGGATGTGGAAGTCAGGATGAGAGACGGGATTCTGGATGAGGATTAGAATGAGGGATCAAGGTAATTTGTAGGTGTGGGGGAAGGTATAGGCGGCATCGGTTCCAATGAGACCCAGAAAATTAATATACATTTTTTTACAACATAAAATGTATTTATTCACTAATGTAGCGTCCTATTTAAATAGCCAGACTACATCCCCGTCGTGAGAAGTTACTAGATCCGACTGTGGGGATAGGTATAGGTAAGAAATAAGGATTAGGTAGAGGTAGGATTATTGGTAGGACTAACATCATTAGGATATTTGATTAGGGGTAGGATTAGAGGATAAGGGAAATGGGTAGATATGGGATATAGGGGTAGATTTATGAGTAGGGATAGTATTATAATTTAGCCTATGGCTAGTGTTACGGATGGAGGTAGGGATAGGGGTAGTGTTAGGAACAGGGACAACATAGGGTATAAATGGTTCGTGACAGTATTCGGATAATGGAGGGGGTTATGGCTATGGGTAGGTAACGGTACTAAAGGACTCGATGTAAGAATCAGGGTAGGGTTAGGGGTATGGGTAGGTTTTGGGTATGACTAGGAATAAGGTTTGCTCCGGATATGGTTTGGGGGGTAGGGATAGGGTTAGGATTATTTGGGTATGGTTATAGGTAGTAGCAAGATCAGAGTAGAGTCATATGAACAGTACTATGGAAAGGCTAACCACCAGAACGTTATGGTAGAGTTAGGGTCAAGGGTAGGGCTGTGGTCAAGGCTAGAGACGTTGGTAAGGTGTTGTTAGGGCTGGCCTACTGTGTTATGGCAGGACTACCGTGTTAGGGCAGACATCTTTTAGATCAGCATTAGGGTGTTGTTATAGTTATGGTAGGTATTTTTTTTGGGTTAGTGTTAGGGCAGGTAATAGGTAGGTTAGAATGAAGGTGGTTGTTTGTTAGGGTTAGTGTTAGGTTAGAATGGTTCCGCGGTGACTAGGAGATGTTAACTACCTCGCCTGGTATGCAGGAGGTCGTGGGTTCGATCCCGACCCTGACGCCTGCTGCTGTATATTTGGAGTTAGCATGGGTGGTCTCGTGTATTTTTCTCCGGGTCCCTCCGGTTTTCCCCTCCACATTTATAAACGTGCGTTTAAGCGTATTTGGCTTCTATAATTGTCCACACGATACGCCACTTAATTGGGCTGTCATTTGTGGCCGGGTCGCTTCCGCAAAATAGAACTGGGTAGCTCAGTGGGGCCTTACCTGGGTAAAGTAAATAAATAAAATTGTTTATACTTTTAGTTTAAACCGCTGGAGTGGAGGAGTAAACGCCGCGGCTTTTCTCGCCGCGCTGCGGGACGAGACGGGGCTCGCCGGAGATAGTCCCCTCCGGGGAAACGCGGCCCCCTCTGCGATTCAGAATCCCACGTGGAGGCTCTGCCATCTCATCGCATCTCGCACGCGTGGCCCATCCCACTCGCCCTGTACATCAACCCGTCCATCACACCCACAAACACATTAAATCACCCACCCGCACATTAACCCACCCACCCATCAACCGACTAGCCTACCCCATGAACAAAGCAGCCAACAACCTACCCAACTCATTCAACATTAATCCATCCATCCCATCAAATCTGTACGTGAATCTTCATGCCCATCCACCTACCCACCCCATCACAGTATCATCCCACCCACTCACCGAGCAAACCATCCACTCACACACCCATTCCCTAACCCACTTATGCACCGACCAACCAACACACTCATCGCACTATCATACCATCCCTCAATAACCTACCTACTCATCAAAACACTAACCCATCCTCACGCCTACCAAAGCTGCTCCGACAGCCCATCCAGTGAATCGTACACTCAAACTACGCATTTACTGGCCCACTCACGAACCCATACAACTATCAATCCACCACAGTAGCCGATTCACCCATCCAAAACCCACCCATTCACTCCATAATTCACTCGTCCACCTACCAACAAATTCAACCGCTCACACTTCCACCACCCGCCCATTGACACACGAATTAAAACCGTTCAATCCACCAATCCACTCACTAACCAAGCCACACATCAACCCATTCGCTCAATAATCCACTCACCCACCTACCAGTCCATTCAAACACCCACCCACCCACTCACACATCGAACCCACCTATCCACCTGTCACCCCCCCCCCCACCCACAGTGTGCTCAACCATCCGTTCATCACCTGTCCAACCATCAGCCACTCCCTCCCTCGCGTCGCGCTGCACTGCCGCTACATTTTCGCGTTCCTCTCGCCGTGGCTTTCTCCGTGCGCTCCTCGGTGACTGCAGGAGCCGCGTCACCGCTCGCGAGCGGAACGGATCGACGTCAAGTTCACGGATTCATAGCGAACGCAGCCTCCTCCTCCGCTGCCGGTCCCGTGAGGCCATGGGTCCCACGCTGGCTCTGGTCGCGTGCTGCACGGCGCTCATCGTTGCAAGGGCTCCGATGACAGGTGAGGTTTGCCCAACGAGATCGTGGTGTTTGTCCGTGTGTGTGTGTCAGTGTGTAAGCGGTAGTGTAGCGGTTAGCGCTACGCTGCGCTATGAACCTGGCGACCCGGGTTCGATTCCCGCTCACGGCTAACACCAGTGACGATTATCTGAACCGGTCCTGGGCCTCCCCTAGGTCGACTCAGCCTTAAATGAGTACCTGGTGCGGTGTGTAAACATCGCCACTGGGGAGACAAAGGCGGTCGGGCGTGGTGCTGGCCACCCACCCCCTCGTTCGTGTACCGTTCCGGTCTTCATAGGTGCTTGCTAACAGCACTTGCCCCTACAGTCTGTGCAGGCTATACGGGGGATCTTTGTCTTTGTCAGGGGTGTGCGTGGTGAGCGCAGAGGGTGCATCCGTCCGTCATCTCATTCGATGATGGGTCTGTCCCGCGACCTCCTGCCACGTGGAATAAAAGTTTGTCACTTAGCGTGGCATCAAAGTGCACCTAGCCTGGCACAAGCGCTGTGTTGTTGTTCTGTTCGGTGTTGTGGGTTCTGTGTGGTTTGTCCGGAACCGGGGTAGGGAACCTCCTCCTCACTGAGGGCCAAACTTTCTAATTCTGTACCACACATTCATGCACGCGCCTCACTAATTCCTGTCACTGCACTGCTTGCAGCGGCATTTATGCGTGAATGAGTCGGCTAAAATCAGAAAGTGATTCTCAGAGCGAAAATATTCCCCTCCTCGACCCGATTATTGCGACTTAGACGCGTCTCTCCTTCATTTTCAATTGTGTGGCCCGTATGATCATGAGCTTGATTATTATGCAGTCACAACGGGGGATGATGATGATGACAACATCAGTGGCAGTGATTACGATGCCATTATATTTTGTGCTTAGAGTGCACGTATTGAACCTCGTGTGTGCAGGAAGAATGCACGCCTGCAAATGATACGAAGCAATAATCCATATACTCCTTGATTGTTACAACGGTGAACAGCATTAGCTCCATGCTGTTTTAATTTGTTGTCAATTGTCTCGAGTGGATTATGCTATTCTGCACTGGTCAGCACACTGGGTTTGTGTCGAGACACTAGTGCAAGTTTCTTACATTCTACTAACACCCCCCCCCCCCATGCCTTTGTCCACTCAGCAGTACACAGTTGATGCAAGCATGGTTAGTCGATCGGCGAGTCTCGCGTGGTGGGGTAATGTGTGGATAATCCGATTTCTCCCAAGAGATCTGACCAGCGTGGACGAAGAGCAGGTCAAAATTGACCCTCTTGGGGGAGCTCTTTAGAGTGGAGGCCGTTCCGTTAGCAGTGGCATGAGTAAGCAATTTCAGGGCCACACTCTTTTTCAATCGGGGCAAATTAAAATGTAATATTATTGATCATATAAATAGCATGAATCGTCGCATCTAGGGCTTTTATTTTATCAATAATAATTACATTTGGGGTTGCTGGTAGAATGGAGCAAGGTGGCATGTGACTAAGCACAGCAGCTATGGCGTGAGGAGAAATTCTGGATGCGGTGTGCCGGATGCATGAAGATTTAACGAGTTAACACTATGAGACCTCCTTTACCAGTGGCAAAATATAGTAATAGGTTTTTACTCTTTCAACTGGTACAAAACTGACACCTTTATACAAGGGATCATGTTTGCAATAACCACAACACAAGCAGTCAAAATGCAAACAAAAATAAACAACTCTGATATAAAGGTGTCAGTTTTGTACCAGTTGAAAGGGTAAAAACCTCTTCTTGGTTCTTTCGGTAAAGTCACGTAAATAATAAAATAAAAAAAATAAACGCTGTCTTCCCGACAGACCTGTTCTTCACCTGACTTTACTGAAAGAACCAAGAAAATGAATCCCTGCAGTCACGAAAGCTTTAAATCGAAGGGTAAAAACCTATTACTATTAACGAGTTGCCAAGCCAGACAAACCCACCTGCAATTCAGCCCACCTCTCACGTACAGATCCAGAGACTCACGCAGAGACCCGCGGTCTAGCCACAGGCCTTCATTTCTCACCCAATATATCCCCTGGGTCGCTGCTAGACCGCAGTCAGCTGCACGTGGCTAGTAGCCGCCGCAGTCACTGCGAACGGGATTCTGGATGTGTCATATCTTGGACGTGTAAATATTTTCTGACCTGGAGAGACTTGAGGGCCCAAGTGGCAGTGCAAGTCCGTTCTGTCGCTTGTCACCACTGCCGGCGGATGCAAGCACGGTGGATCACAGGACACGATCGTCTGGTTATGTGGGATTGCGGTGCGGGGATTGCATTCCGTTAGTTGTGCGCCACGGGCGAATTCCAGCTGTAACGTTAGTACTGTAATTGCCGCTCCCCCCCCCCACCACCTCCTCCTCCATCCCTCTGTGAATTGTCAGGTTACACAGTGACTTTGCACCGTGTATGCTCTAAGCAATAACTCTCTGCCTTTAAGCCAAGAGAGGTTGAATTTCATGCGGTACAACTCACCGCCCCCCAAAAAAAAAACTTAGCAAAGAGCCAGTAGATTCCCACGATTAGCCTGGGGTCAGCTGCTCGGAATTCGTTTCTCCACGTGTTTCTACCCCGTGCATCTGCGCAGGTCACAGGCACTGTCCTTGTTTAGAGGCCCGTAGACTCACGTGCACTTACAAAGTCCGTAGACTTGCATAGAGACCCACACACTTACATAGAGACCCGTCGACTCACGTACACTTACAAGGTCCATAGATTCTAGATTTGAAGTTTTCGTGACGGCAAGGATCCATACTCTTTGTTTTTTTCGGTAAAGTCACGGAGGTGAAAACTAAATAAAATGAAAATAAAACAACGAAATTAAATCACGTTTCGGAAGCAACAAAATCATCCGTCATCAGGTGTGACTGTTCCAGCAAAATTACTGTAGCGTATGATGAGAGATATTTAGAGACACGTGTTTATATAGGGTACTAGTGGGGGGGAAGAGCCAAGAGCTCGAGGGGAGGGTCCATAGACTTGCATAGATCCCCACCCACTTACAGAGAGACCAATCGACTCACGTACACGGTCTATAGACTTGCATAGAGACCCACACACTTACAGAGAGACCCGTCGACTCACGTACACTGAAAATCTCCATAAACACAGCAGTCCCTCTTGGGATCTCACAAGCGTAGCAGCACCTCGTGCGGGCCATTCTGTAGCATGTGGCGATGCACCGCTTACTGTGGGCGAGGGGTTTCTCGTGGACGAAGGGGGACCCATTCAAGTTCCGTGACATCATCGTCTACTGCGTCATCATCTTACGACACAATGCCAACAACAACAACAACACACGAGGCGAAAAATCGGGGAAAACTGTGCCCGGTGGAAGAGGATTCAGTTGAGAAAAAAAACGACGGGGAAGAGAATCGACGGTAAGGGAGGGGGCCACGTTAAAAAAAACTACTGAAAATAAATTACAAATAAATGAATAAATATGTCCAGTTCGGGGGGGCATTTCCCACCCGCAAACTCTACCCACGGTCCATCCTCCGCACCGCCGACTCGCACGGCTGGCTACGTACGGTGCGAAAGAAGTTCAACGTAGCACACACCTAAATACCTACACACGTACGTGCATAGAGCTCGAGAGAGATTTCTCGACGCTCCCCGCCCTCCATGAGTAGCGAGGAGGACGAGGGGGGAGGAAGAAGAAGAGGAGGAGGAGGTAGAGGGAACGACATCGAAAATCTCGCCGCGTGTTTCTGCGTTTGCGGTGACAGCGGCGGAATTGGTGACGAATGCGACGGCGGCGACTGCGGCGAAGATGGTGGTGGACAGCCCTCCACGTGGCACGGCGCACACCTTCAGCTACGAGGTGGACGTGACCGTGGAGTGCAGCAAGGGAGCCCCGAAGACTCCCGAGCCGGACCTCCGCATCTCCTCGCTGCTGGAGGTCGTGGAGGTGTGGAGGCAACCCGACCGGGAGAGCGTGCGTCTCCTGCAGCTCCTCGTGAGTGAGAGTGGAGGGGGTGGAGGGGAGTGGAGAGAGTGGAGGGGAGTGGAGGGAGGGTTGGTGGAGAGAGTGCGTCTCCTGCAGCTACTCGTGAGTGGGAGTGGAGGGAGTGGAGGGGAGTGGAGGGAGGGTTGGGGGAGGGATTGGTGGTGAACGTGCGTCTCCTGCAGCTCCTCGTGAAGAGTGGAGGGAGTGGAGTGAAGTGGAGGGTGAGGGATTGGAGGGAGTGGAGTGAAGGGAGTGAAGTGGAGGGGAGGGAGTGGAAGGGAGTGGAGGGGATTGGAGGGAGTGGAAGGGAGTGGAGTGGAGTGAAGGGAGAGAGTGCGTGAATGGGGTGACCGTGTCCACGAGGCGGTGAGCTGTCCTGCAGCTGGGCTGGCACAAGCGCCGTGGTCACACCACCACCACCACCACCACCACCACCACCTCCACCACCACCATCACCACCACTTCCACCCACCACCACCATCACCACCACCACCACCACCCCACCACCACCACCCACCACCACCACCACCAACCACCACCACCACCTCCACCACCACCACCACCACCACCACCCACCACCACCACCCACCACCACCACCCACCACCACCACCACCACCATCACCACCACCCACCACCACCACCACCACCACCTCCACCACCACCACCATCACCACCACCATCACCACCACCCACCACCACCACCACCATCACCACCACCACCTCCACCACCACCACCATCACCTCCACCACCACCACCACCACCTCCACCACCACCCACCACCACCACCCACCACCACCACCCACCACCACCACCTCCACCAACACCACCATCACCTCCACCAACACCACCATCACCTCCACCACCACCACCACCTCCACCAACACCACCATCACCTCCACCACCACCACCACCTCCACCACCACCACCCACCACCACCACCCACCACCACCACCCACCACCACCACCCACCACCACCACCTCCACCACCACCACCCACCACCTCCACCACCACCACCCACCACCACCACCCACCACCACCACCTCCACCACCACCACCCACCACCACCACCCACCACCACCACCTCCACCACCACCACCCACCACCACCCACCCACCACCACCACCACCACCTCCACCACCACCCACCTCCACCACCACCACCACCACCACCCACCCACCACCATCACCACCACCACCCACCACCACCACCACCATCACCACCACCACCTCCACCACCACCACCACCACCCACCACCACCACCATCACCACCACCATCACCACCACCACCACCACCTCCACCACCACCTCCACCACCACCACCTCCACCACCACCACCACCACCCACCACCACCACCATCACCACCACCCACCACCACCACCACCACCACCACCTCCACCACCACCACCACCACCCACCACCACCACCACCTCACCACCACCACCACCACCATCACCACCACCCACCACCACCACCACCTCCACCACCACCTCCACCACCACCACCTCCACCACCACCACCCACCACCACCACCACCATCACCACCACCCACCACCACCACCACCACCTCCACCACCACCAGCACCACCACCCCACCACCCACCACCACCACCACCACCTCCACCACCACCACCATCACCACCACCACCCACCACCACCACCACCACCATCACCACCACCACCACCACCACCATCACCACCACCTCCACCACCACCACCATCCACCACCACCCACCACCACCACCACTCACCACCTCCTGACCACTACCACTCACCACCACCCACCACCACCACCACCATCACCACCACCACCACCACCACCACCTCCACCACCACCATCACCTCCACCACCACCACCACCACCACCACCTCCACCACCACCCACCACCACCACCCACCACCACCACCACCCACCACCACCACCTCCACCAACACCACCATCACCTCCACCAACACCACCATCACCTCCACCACCACCACCTCCACCACCACCTCCACCACCACCACCTCCACCACCACCACCACCACCACCACCCTCCCCACCACCACCAGCACCTCCACCACCACCACCACCACCCACCACCACCACCACCACCACTCGACCACCACCACCATCACCACCACCCACCACCACCACCACCTCCACCACCACCTCCACCACCACCACCTCCACCACCACCACCACCACCCACCACCACCACCATCACCACCACCCCCACCACCACCACCACCTCCACCACCACCACCACCACCAACCACCACCACCACCACCACCACCACCTCCACCACCACCACCATCACCACCACCACCCACCACCACCACCACCACCATCACCACCACCACCATCACCACCACCTCCACCACCACCACCATCACCACCACCCACCACCACCACCACCACCTCCACCACCACCACCATCACCACCACCCACCACCACCACCACCATCACCACCACCACCCACCACCACCACCACCTCCACCACCACCACCATCACCTCCACCACCACCACCACCACCACCTCCACCACCACCCCACCACCACCACCCACCACCACCACCACCCACCACCACCACCTCCACCAACACCACCATCACCTCCACCAACACCACCATCACCTCCACCACCACCACCACCACCTCCACCAACACCACCATCACCTCCACCACCACCACCACCTCCACCACCACCACCCACCACCACCACCCACCACCACCACCTCCACCACCACCACCCACCACCACCACCCACCACCACCACCCACCACCACCACCTCCACCACCACCACCCACCACCACCACCCACCACCACCACCTCCACCACCACCACCCACCACCACCACCCACCACCACCACCCACCACCACCACCTCCACCACCACCACCCACCACCACCCACCCACCACCACCACCTCCACCACCTCCACCACCACCCACCTCCACCACCACCACCACCACCCACCACCACCACCATCACCACCACCCACCACCACCACCACCATCACCACCACCACCACCTCCACCACCACCACCACCACCCACCACCACCACCATCACCACCACCATCACCACCACCACCACCACCTCCACCACCACCTCCACCACCACCACCACCACCACCCACCACCACCACCATCACCACCACCCACCACCACCACCACCACCTCCACCACCACCACCACCACACCACCACCTCCACCACCACCACCATCACCACCACCCACCACCACCACCACCTCCACCACCTCCACCACCACCACCTCCACCACCACCACCACCACCACCCACCACCACCACCATCACCACCACCCACCACCTCCACCACCACCACCATCACCACCACCCACCACCACCACTGACTTTGGTGGTCGTCGTTGTTGCTGCGTCTTGAAGTGGTCCTGTTCATGGGTGGCGTTTGGTGGTTGGGAGGGGCACGGGGGGGGGGGGCAATGCACCCCCAAACTGGCCACTTTTATTAATGTATTTTCAGTAATTTACCATTAAGATGAAAACAAATGTAATTGTATGCACCCACGATTCCGAATGTGGGGGACAAAGCGAGCCCCTCCCCCCCTCCATAAATAAATAGAGAAGTGAAACTCTGCCTCTGGTGGTGTCGACACGATTTGAGTTCACTGGTTCTGGGTCTCCCAGTCAGTATCTGACGTGAATCTCGTAAAATAACAAATATAATATCCCCCCATACCTCCTATTTAAATCAGTCTCAATTGAGGGCAAATTTTTGCTTTTTCCCTCCAGCTGCCCATTGCTGCGGGAGACAAAGGCGGCCAGGCGTGGTGCTGACCACATCACCCCTTCATGTGCCATCTTGACTTTCAGAGGGACTCGCTAATGGCACTTGCCCCAACAGACTGTTGGGGCAAGTGCTGATAGCGAACACTTATGAAGGCCGACATGGCACACGTATGGTCGCCGGCACCACGCCCGGACCACCTTTGTCTCCCCAGTGGCGATGTTTGTACACCTCCCCAGGTACCCATATGAGACTGAGTCGACCTAGAGGAGGCCCAGGACCGGTTCAGATAATCGTTACTGCTGGTGGCTGTAAGCGGGAAGCGAACCCCGGATTGTCGGGTTCAAAGCCCGGTGCGCTAACCGCTACACTACCGCTCCCCACTCATTTGCACATACGTACTCGCGCGCGCACGCATGCTATTTGTACGTACACTCAAGCGTGCATGCTATCTCTGTGTCCACTTGCCCGCAGTTCGATGGGTTCACCGTCCATGCGGGTTCTCTTTCTGCCGACTCCAGTTCTGAGGCCGACCCTATGGGGACTCAAGCGGCTGCCCTGGGCCCCAAGGTTCAGGCGGCACTGGGGACCCCGTGGCTGATCCTGTGGGATAGCGGGAAGGTGACAACCGCGAGCCCACACCGCCCTCACACCGCCCCCACACCCCCTTGCGATGTTAGCAAGCCGCTGGAGCCTCGCACTTTTAAATCGTCATCTAGATTGGAAACGAATTTCTTTAGAACTGCTTTTTGTGTTGAGTTTGTTGCCCTTCCCCCTGCACCTGCCTACGTACGGTGCAAAAGAAGTTCTACGGACATAAATGCATACCGTGTTACCGGTGCAGTGGCAGACAGCGGCCCAGGCGCTGCTCATATGCGCTGCTTGCCACAAATTAACCCACAAAACCTCGCTGATCACGTCAAGCAGCATAAACCATCACACGAACTCCGGTCATCCTCGCCGCAGGAGCTTTCGGCTGCTGGCCATCGAACAAAGACGGTGGTCACCGCATCGCGCGCTGTCAGAAGCGCTTCTGTGGCCGTCTGGAACGCTCTTCCTTTCTGATAGCCGCAAGCCACTGGGAGCTACGCACTTTAAAATAATTTAGATTGAAAACGCATTTCTATAGGGCTGATTTTTGCATTTAGTCCGATTGTCTGCGTACGGTGCGAAAGGAGGTAAACATGCAGACATAACACGGGTGGCTACGTACGGTGCGAAAGAAGTTCAACATATGCACGCGCAGTGCTTCTCGTCCACCCACTGCTGGAAGAGAATCCCTGCCCACGCTGCCGTGTCGCTCGTGGCGCTCGTTTGACCGTAGGTCGCCATGCCGGTCAGTGCAGGCTGCTGATGGAGTTGTGTAGAAGCACAGCAGCAGCATCGCGATTGATTCTTGTTTTGCGGGACTGCTCCTCAACCGCTGCGCCGTGTGGCCCCGCAGGCAATATCGCAGCCTGCCGTGCGTGATGGTCACCCATCCGGGTGCTTTCCAGGCTCCGAGGTCTGATGAGATCGGGCGCATTCCACGTGATTCGATGATTGCTCATCGTGGCCATTTAAGATGAGTGAGGCGGCACTACTCACTGGCGGAGTCAGTGGGGGGGAGAGGGAACGTACCTCCCCAATGATCCGACTGCCGTGACAGCGAGCAATGTACAATCCAGAGGATCTCAGTGATCTCGATGAAATCTACACCCCGGCGTATTTGAATACCACGACCCTCGACTCTCCCACCGACGATGCCGGGGCGCGTGTGTGCGTGTGTATGTGTGTGCATGTGTGTGCGTGTGCGCGTATGCGTGTGTGCGTGTGCATGTGTGTACGTGTGTGCGCGTGTGGATGCGTGTGCGTGTGTGCGTGTGTGCGTGTGCATGTGTGTGTGCGTGTGTGTGTGCGTGTGTGTGCGCGTGTGTGCGCGTGTGTGTGCATGCGTGTGCGCGTGTGCGTGTGTGCGTGTGTACGTGTGCATGTGTGTGTGCGTGTGTGTGTGCGTGTGCGTGTGTGCGCGTGTGTGCGTGTGCGCGTGTGCGCGTGTACGTGTGTACGTGTGTGCGTATGTGCGTGTGTGTGCGCGTGTGTGTGCGCGTGTGCGCGTGTGTGTACGCGTGTGTACGTGCGTGTGTGTGTGTGTGTGCGTGTGTGTGTGCGCATGTGTGTGTGTGCGTGCGTGTGCGCGTGTGCGAGCCGCAGGTGCCGGAGATGCACGTGGTGAGCGGGGAGCCCACGGAGGTGGTGAACCTGAAGCGGGGCGTCTCCAGCCTCCTGCAGCTGCAGCCCCAGACCGGCAACGCCACCGAGGTGCGGACAACTTGGACGCTCTCTCGATCTCTCTACATCTCTCTCTCCTCACCTTGTCACATCGTGCCGTCAGGTCGACTACGACCTCGAGGTTCACGATTCACGGCCAGACTCCGCCATGCACAGCCACCCGTGTCTCGCTGCCTCTCGTAGCGAGGCCAGCCGGTGTCCTCGTTGTCGTCCGTCAGAGGTCGCAACCGGGTACCCGATACCCGTACCCTACCCGATACCCGGCTATCCGTACCCGGCCGGGTACGGGTACGGGTAGCCGTTTGCGACTCTGGTGCGGCCGGGTACGGGTAGGCCGTGAGTCACTGGTGAGTAACCGTTTGTCACTCATTTCGGGTAGGGTACGGGTACGGGTAGGGAACGGGTACCCATTTGCGACCCTGGTGCGGCCGGGTACGGGTACGGGTAAGGAATCAAAACCCGTTTGCGACCTCTGTCGTCCGTCCACCTCCTCCGAGGTCGACCTCTGTCCCTGCCACCTTCTCCATTCACAAGCAGAGACAGATTACTCCGGTCCGGAGGTCCTCACAATGGTGTCCTGAGTTTGTCATTTTGCGCTTCGCGAATAGGGCCTCGTGTGGCAGAGTGGCACCGATCTCTCTTGGGACAGACGCGTTTGATGTTATGGCTGTCCGTGGTATACATATCATTCTTCTCCAGCACCACATCTCTCCCTCTCTCTCTCACCGCTGCCGATTAATTGTCGATCGGTAAATCTTTTGATAATTGGTTTTTTACCCTTTTATCTGGCAACAAAACTGACACCTTTTTTACGAGGAGTCATGTTTGCATAGACCACAATACCTGCAGTCATAATGCAAACAAAAAACATAACTCTGATAATGTATGCACTGTCATGTGACAGTGCATACTTTATCAGTGTGTCAGTTTTGTTGCCAGATAAAAGGGTAAAAAAACAACTATCATATTTTTTACTGGCAAATTAGGTACCAATGGCAGTAAACCTTTATCGTATGTGGCCAATATCGCCCTCAATCAAGCAGGCATCGTCGGCGCGCGTTGTAGCGGAACGGGAGCGGCACAGCGGCGCAGAGCGACGTTGTACACCGATTACTCACTTGGGAAGCCTCATAATGACTTCGCCACCTAACTGACAGACACATGCCTACTTGCAGGCCGCTGCTGCGGTCACCGCACATCGCAGAGGGGGCAGCTGCCGCTGGGTGGTCCCCTACCGCAAGGCGTCCCGAGATATACTGGATGAGAGGGCTCGATCTAAATAGTTAGTGACGTTGATTATGATAATATTCATGGGACCTTTTTGTCCGGTATCCAAGATGATGAAAAATAAGAACAGGTTTTACCCTTTCTGGCAATTACAACGGCTGCTAAGATGTTCGAACGCCAAATAGGTACCTTTTGCAAGGCATCAAATCTCCATTAACCACACATACGTGTGGCAAAAACATTTACACAAACATGCTCTGATAATAATAGATGGCATTGCCTTTGAAACTGATTGGCCTACACCAGAGACGGCCTTCTTTAGGGCCTTGAGTCACCGGTGTTAGACCAGAGAACAACGGCGATATGTGAACAGTACAAAGGCAAAGCAAGTATCAGAATACTTGTAGATATAAGTGAACGATATGTCATTGATATAGTTATATCGTGCATATCACCGCTCGATATCGTAACACCTGTGTTATTGCCAGAAAGGGATGAGGATAATGATAGAGCTGACGGTCACTTAACATGGAGGACTGTGAACAGAATGATCCCCCTCCACCCCCTCCTCCCCTCCTCCCTCCTCCCTCCTTTTACCCCCTCCTCATTCCCCCCCTCCTCCCCCCTCCCTCCCTCCCTCCCCCCACTCCCCCTCCCTCTTTCTCCCCCCCTCCTCCTCCCTCCTCCCCCCTCCTATTCCCTCACTTTACCCCCTCCTCATTCCCCCCTCCTTCCCCCTCCCTCCCTCCCTCCTCCCCCCCTCCTCCTCCCACCCCCTCCCTCCCCCTCCTCCTCTCCCCTCCCCCTCCTCCTCCCCCCTCCCTCCTCCCCCCCTCCTCCTCCCTCCTCCCTCCTCCCTCCTCCTCTCCCCTTCCTCCCCCCTCCTCCCCCTCCCTCCTCCCACCCCCTCCTTCTCCCTCTCCCCCCTCCTCCCCCCTCCGCCCTCCCTCCCCCTCATTCCCCTCCCTCCTTCTCCTCCCTCCTCCTCCTCCCACCTCTTCCCTGCCCCCTCCTCTATGCCCCCTCCTCCCTCCCCCCTTCCTCCTCCCTTCTTCCTCTTCCTCCCTCATCCTACCCCCTCCTCATCCCCCCCCTCCTTTCTTCTCCCTCCCCCCCTCCACCCCCCTCCCTCCTCCTCCCCCCTCCTCCCTCTTGCCCCCTTTTCATCCCTCCCTCCTCCGGCCCCCTCCTGTGCAGGTCGACGCCTCGGGCGAGTGCCAGGTGACGTACACAGGGGCCGCCGATCGGCTCATCAAACGGAAACTTCCGGGAAGCTGCGTCCACCCGGAGGATCGCGTCATGGGTTCGAACGAAGACGACGTGAGGCTCACCTCCTCACCTCGACAAGTCCGAGGGATTTCCCCCCCCCACCACCTCCTCCCGCCAGCCGAGCCAGTGGTGGAATTCCCACGTTCCTATTGGTGGAGGCACATTCTGCCAGCAGTGTCTTCAGCAAGGCATTTCAGAGCCGCACCTTTGCCTCCTATCTTTGTTACGATAGCGGACATCACGAGGCACCCCGCCCGTGAATTAGGCCAGTGTTTTAACAACACAGCTCGTTTAAACGTTAGTTATTAAACGGTGGATGGGTGCCGTGAGTGGCGTGCGTGCGTGTGTGTGCCCTCGGAGCGCGCTTGACCTCGGTGTGCGTGTGTGACCTTGGCACCCATGTGTGACCTTGGCGCGTGCGTGCGACCTTGGCGTATTTGTGTGTCCTTTGAGCGCGTGTATTTGACCTTCGCGAGCAGGTGCGTGACCTTGGCGCTCTTGTGGGATCTTGGCGTGCCTGTATGACCCTGGAGCGTGTGTGTGACCTTGGATTACTTGTTTGACCTTGGCGCGCGTGTGTGACCTTGGATTACTTGTTTGACCTTGGCACGTGTGTGTGATCTTGGCGAGCGCGTGTGTGACCCTGGTGCGTGTGTGTTATTTGTTGCGCGTGCGTGACCTTGGCATGCACGTATGACCTTGGCACGCGTGTGTGACCTTGGCGTGCGTGTGCGACCTTGGCGCGCTTGTGTGACCTTGGCACGCGCGCGTATGATCTTAGCAAGCGTGCGCGATCTTGGCATACTTGAGTGACCCTGGCGCACGCATGTGACCTTGGCGAGCATGTGACCTTGGCGCACGCCAGTGTCCTTGGAGCGAGCGTGTGACCCGAGCGTGTGTCAACTTAACACGCGCGTGGGTTACCTTAGCGTACGTGTGACCTTGATGCGAGCCTGTGACCCGGCGTGCGTGCATGCGTGCATGTGACCTCGGCGTGTGCGGCTCAGGCGCTGGGCGTGCGCCGCGTCGTCTCCGCGCACGTCGAGCTCTGGCTGGAGGGCGACGCCGTGGCTCGCGCTCGCTCCATCGAGCGACACGCGATCACCTCCAACCTCCAGCCCGGCGTCGGGGTGAACGTCACCAGCAGGTGCGTGCGTTCACCTGCACAGGAGGAGGGAGAAGCTGGATCATTCCGTTTGCGGAACCCTCGCGTTCAGTGCTCATCATCTCTATCATCATCATGATGATTTATTTTGCTGCTATCAATTTCCACGTGATCAGCCACTTTGTTGAGCTTTCATTTGTGAGCAGGTCGTTTATGAAAAAGAAGCTAGTAGCTCTGTGGGCTTTACCTGGTAAGACAAGAACAAATGTTTAGTTTTATTTGTGTAATGTCTTAAGTGATTTGTTTACTTTTGTTGCACTCCTATCGTGTTTTTGCATTCTTTGTTTTCGTAACGTTCTGACCCGTTGACTGGACATCTATCAAAAGAGCTTTAGAGCTCATCGGATTCCTCCAGTATAAATAAATATTGTGTTTGTGACAGCTGTGGTGACGGTGGTGGTGTGGGGAGCGGTGGTGTAGCGGTTAGCGCGATGTGCTACAAACCTAGCAACCCGAGTTCGATACCCGCTCACCACCACCAACACCAGTGGCGATATCTGAACCAAATATACAGCAGGTGTCAGGGTGGCGATCGAACCCACGACCTCCCGCACACCAGGCGAGGTAGTTGACATATCCTAGCCACCGTGATGATGATGAGAGAGAGAGACGCGCCAACTCCACATACACAGCAGGCATCAGGGTCGCGATCGAACACACGACCTCCCACACACCAGGCGAGGTAGTTGACATCTCCTAGCCACCGTGATGATCACGAGAGAGAGAGGGAGAGACACGCCAACTCCACATACACAGCAGGCGTCAGGGTCGCGATTGAACCCACGGTCTCCCGCACACCAGGCGAGGTAGTTGACATCTCCTAGCCACCGTGATGATGATGATGAGAGAGAGACGCGCCAACTCCACATACACAGCAGGCGTCAGAGTCGCGATCGAACCCACCAGGCGAGGTAGTTGACATCCCCTAGCCACCGTGATGATGATGATGATGAGAGACACGCCAACTCCAAATACACAGCAGGCTTCAGGGTCGCGATCGAACCCACGACCTCCCGCACACCAGGCGAGGTAGTTGACATCTCCTAGCCACCGTGATGATGATGATGATGAGAGACACGCCAACTCCAAATATACAGCAGCAGGCGTCAGGGTCGCGATCGAACCCAGGGCCTCCCGCACACCAGGCGAGGTAGTTGACATCTCCTAGCCACAGCGGCGCCCCAACAGCCCCTCCGAAGGCTTCGCGTGGGGACCTTCACCTTCGCCGTCTTGTCGTGGAGCGCAGGCAGCAGCTGCGACTGGTGAAGCGCAGCCGCTGGAGCGGCGTCGCGCTCACCGCCGCCGTCGCCGCGGACGCGGCGCGGAGCCTGGACCCGGCGTACCGCGCCGTGGCACTGCCGCTGCGCCACGAGCCCCTGCCCAGCCGGCAAACGCCGCCAACGGTAACGTGCAGCGCCCGGTTAGCCCTGTGGCGAGTCTGTGGGTCTCCACGTGTGCGGTCTGTGGGTCTCTGCGTGAGTCCATGGGTCTCTAACTGTGTAGTCTATGGTTTTCTTTGGGCGAAGTCTTTGGGTTTCTGTGTGTGGAGTCAATGGGTTTCTAAATGTGGAATCTGTGGGTTTCTGTGTGTGTAGTCTATGGGTCTCTACGTGATGAGTCTATGGGTCTCTATATGCAGAGTCTATGAGTCTGTAAGTGTGTAATCTATGGGTCCCCTCCCTCGCCTTGCAGCGCCTCCTGGTAACAGCAGGGCTGAGTGTCTCACTCGGGATCGTCCGGCTAATAGACTCACACAGACACCCATAGACTACTCATATAGACACCCATAGACTACTCATATAGACACCCGTAGACGACTCACACAGACACCCATAGACGACTCACACAGAGACCCATAGATATCCATAGGCCGCAGTGTAATTGCACCGTCTGCACACACGGTAGTTATGCCACAGCCATGCCACACATGCGTTCAGGCATGGAGCACTTTTACTTTTTAATTGATTGAGTCCTAATTAGGCATTTAATCTCAGCGCTGTGGGTCACTGACGCAGTGATTCGTGGGTATTTCTGAACCTGCGGTGTTCCCCGAACGCAATTTGATTTGCGGTATTGGCCCACTGAGAGGCGGGGACCCTGTATGGGCAGTTGTAGGATACAGGTCAGAGTCTTCGGTACGAAGTGAAGCAAAAATAGTTCAAATTTTGTTTGAACGGAAATACGCACCCTGCAAGGGAGATCGTACCACCGCCTTCTTCCGCCGGCAACTGATGTCTTAACCTGCTGACGATAGCATTGAGGCATGGGTCCAGAAGGCTTTCTAGAGCTTAGACGGCTAATGGCGATGTTCTGTTAACGTGATAAACCTTACTAGTTGGCTGTGTCGGGTGGTGGCGGGTTTAACGACGCATTTATATTTACGCGATCTAACCCAAAAACCTTCCATTGTAGACGATGATGACGATGGACGATGCTGATGATGACGAGAGTGATGATGATATTGCTGATGACGATTATGATGACCATGATGATGATGTTGATGACGGCGATGATGACGAATTATTATGATGACGATGATGATGACGATGATGACGGCGATGATGTTGATGCCGACGACGATTAGGATGACAGTTATGTGAGGATGATGTTGTTGATGCCGATGACGATTATGATGACATTCATGACGACGATTATAATGATGATGATGTTAATGACAGCGATTATGACGACGATGATGACAGCGATTACGACGACGATTACGATCACGGTGGTGATGATGATGTTGATGACGATTATGACGATGACGACGACAACTACGACGATGTCGATCCTGCGCGCAGGTACCGAGCGTGCTGGCCGCGTCGCGCCGCTTTCTCCGCGGCGACTCGCTGGCCTCGCGGGACGCGGCGAGGGCCTTCCTCTCGCTGGGCCGGGCGCTGGCCGCCCTCCCCGCGTCCACGCTGCTCTCCATGCTGAGGGCCGAGGAGGCCGAGACGCTGTGAGTCGCTCCGCCGCCGTCGCCGCCACGGTCAGAATCGAGTGCGGTGTGCGCACGTGCGTCTGGATCGCTGAACAACAACAACAATAAACAACAACAACAAACAACACCGCCACTGCCGATGCGGAGCTGCTGAAGCAGTCCTACATGCGCGCGTTTGTTCACGTGGCGACTTTATTGAATGGCTGTGGGTGGAGAAGGGTTCGCGACACGCATTGAACTCGCGCGATCTGACCAGAAAATATCGGAATGAGAATTATTTATTCATACCGGAGGAATGGTGATGATCATCGTCGTCATGATGGTGATCGTCATAATTTCCCATGGGCCCCCCTCTCTCTGCTACAGCCCCGGATTTACCGCCGTCTTTTCTGTCAACATCTCCCCGCACTGCACGAGATGTTAACTTCCTCGCCTGGTGTGCAGGAGGTCGGGGGTTCTATCTCGACCCCGACGCCTGCTGCTGTATATTTGTAGTTTGCGGTGTCTCTCTCTCCGTCGTCGCGTGGATTTTTCTCTGGGCCCTCCGGTTTTTCCCTCACACATTTAGAATCAACATCACGCGTTTGGAGAATTTGGCTACAGCTATGTATGTCCACGCGTTAAGCCACTTCGTTGAGCTATCATGTGTGGGCAGGTCGCTTCTGAAAAAGAGCTACATCGCTCGGTGGGCCTTACCTGGTAAAATAAATGAAATACTTAATTTTATCTTCTTGGTTCTTTCGGTAAAGTCACGTAGAAGGGAAATAATAAAATAATAAAAATATAACATAATAAAATAATTCTCACGACGTTTCGGCCACAACGCAAGCAGCCGTCCTCAGGTGAAGAGGACGGCTGCTTGGGTTGTGGCCAAAACGTCGTGAGAATTATTTAAGAATGTTTTATTATAATTATTTAATTATTTCCCTTCTACGTGACTTCACCTGAGGACGGCTGCTTGCGTTGTGGCCGAAACGTCGTGAGAATTATTTTATTATGTTTTATTATTTTATTATTTCCCTTCTACGTGACTTTACCGAAAGAACCAAGAAAATGAATCCCTGCAGTCACGAAAGCTTTAAATCGATACTTAATTTTACTCTCTTCCCCACTCTCATTCCCCACTCTATCCACTCTCTTCTCTCTCTCTCCGCTCTCTCTCCCCCCAACTCACCCCCCCCTCCCCCACCACCGCCCCCCCCAGGCCACAGCTGCTGGACGCCGTGGTGTCGTCGGGGACGCCGGCGGCGCTGGAGGCAACGCTCGACTACTTGGACCTGGGCGGGGATGAGGAGCGCCCGCGGGAGCTGTCGGAGCGAGCGCTCTACTGCTGGGCACTCGCCCCCAGCCCCTCGCCGCTCGCTCTGCAGCGCCTCCTGGTACCGTAGACTACTCGGACTACTCGCGTAGAGACCCGTAGACTTCGTGCATAGAGACCCATAGACTACGTGCATAGAGACCCATAGACTACTCGCGTAGAGACCCATAGACTACTCGCGTAGAGACCCATAGACTACGTGCATAGAGACTCATAGACTACTCGCATAGAGACCCGTAGACTACGCGCTTAGAGACTCGTAGACTAGTCGCGTAGAGACCCATAGACTACGTGCATAGAGACTCATAGACTACTCGCGTAGAGACCCATAGACTACTCGCGTAGAGACCCGTAGACTACTCGCGTAGAGATCCATAGACTACGTGCATAAAGACTCATAGACTACTCGCGTAGAGACCCATAGACTACTCGCGTAGATACCCGTAGACTACTCGCGTAGAGACCCATAGACTACTCGCATAGAGACCCGTAGACTACTCGCGTAGAGACCCGTAGACTACTCGCGTAGAGACCCGTAGACTACTCGCGTAGAGACCCGTAGACTACTCGCGTAGAGACCCATAGACTACTCGCATAGAGACCCGTAGACTACGCGCTTAGAGACTCGTAGACTACTCGCGTAGAGACCCATAGACTACTCGCATAGAGACCCATAGACTACTCGCGTAGAGACCCATAGACTACTCGCGTAGAGACCCATAGACTACGTGCATAGAGACTCATAGACTACTCGCATAGAGACCCGTAGACTACGCGCTTAGAGACTCGTAGACTAGTCGCGTAGAGACCCATAGACTACGTGCATAGAGACTCATAGACTACTCGCGTAGAGACCCATAGACTACTCGCGTAGAGACCCGTAGACTACTCGCGTAGAGATCCATAGACTACGTGCATAAAGACTCATAGACTACTCGCGTAGAGACCCATAGACTACTCGCGTAGAGACCCGTAGACTACTCGCGTAGAGACCCATAGACTACTCGCATAGAGACCCGTAGACTACTCGCGTAGAGACCCGTAGACTACTCGCGTAGAGACCCGTAGACTACTCGCGTAGAGACCCGTAGACTACTCGCGTAGAGACCCATAGACTACTCGCATAGAGACCCGTAGACTACGCGCTTAGAGACTCGTAGACTACTCGCGTAGAGACCCATAGACTACTCGCATAGAGACCCATAGACTACTCGCGTAGAGACCCGTAGACTACTCGCGTAGAGACCCGTAGAATACTCACGTAGAGACCCGTAGACTACTCGCGTAGAGACCCGTAGACTACGTGCATAGAGATCCGTAGACTACTCGCGTAGAGACCCGTAGACTCACACAGCGACCCATTGACTCACATAGAGACCCATAGACAAATACAGAAGCCCATTGACTCTCATAGAGAAACCTCGAGACTCACCACAAGGCTTCGGCGACCCAAGTGGGTGTCACGTGACTTGTCGCCTCCACAGTATTTGGCTGCTGCTAGACATTCCCACATGGTGATGAGCCAGGTTGCTTATGAAAAAAAAAGCCATATAGCCCAGGGGGTCCTTAGCTGGTAAAATAAAAAAAACACGTGGTTTAGTTTAGTCGAAGTATCTGGATGCACTAGCCGTCTGCTGACAGCGTTGCGGTACGAGTAACAACAACAACAATTGTTGTTGTTGTCGTCATCGTCGTTGTTGTTGTTGTTGCGAGTGGTGCGTAAGCCGTGATGAGAATCGCCGTTCTCGCCGGGCTCTCACCGCCGGCTAGGGGCTGGCCAAGGACGAGACGGTGGCGGCCGAGACTCTGGACGCTCTGCTCGTGGTGCTGGGCGCCGGCCTGGGGAAGCTGTGCCGTGCCGGTCACTGCCAGCAAGCGGTGAGCGCAGCCGGGGCCATCGGTCCACTGGGCGGGGGGGGGGGTGGAGGGAGGCCTTCATCCAACGGTAGATTGATCATGGCTGATGATGATCAGTGTTCATGTATACTTAGAGATCTCTTCTAGATTTGAAGCTTTCGTGACTGCAAGGATTCATATTCTTAGGTTTTTTCGGTAAAGTCAAGGGACTTGATACAGCAGTCGTGCTGTGACGGTTCCGACCTGAAGACGGAAGCTTGAGTTGCCTCCGAAACGTCGTGATTTTTATTTAATTTTTATTTTAGTAATTTAAATTTTTTACCTACGTGACTTTACCGAAAAAACCTAAGAATATACTTAGAGATCTGCTTCTTCTCCTTGTTCCGTGTGGCATTTTCTTTGGGGATTGCAACAGATTACAAATAGATTTTTTGAGATTTGATATCCATCCGACTGCTTCAGGAGCAGCCCTGTATAGCCTCTTCAAAACTCTCCACTCTAAACTGACCTTTAACCCCGACTCGTCCTGGCCATTTACCCTGCGCTGCTGTTGTTTATCCCCCGGCACCCCCCCGCCTCGATTCGTCGTTGCCCCGGCAGGCGGCGAGGGAGACGCTGGCGCTTCTGATCTCGACGCTGCAGGGCTCGGGATCGCCGGAGGGACGCGCCGGCAGGGAGACAGGAGCGGCGCGTGGCGGCGGCGCTGGCGCTGGGCAACGCGGCGTTGCCCGAGGCCCTGGAGCCGCTGCTGAGCACCGCCGAGAGCCCGGAGCGGCGCATGGCCACGGCGGCGCTCGACGCCCTGCGCAAGTTCCCGCCCGGCAGCTTCACGCCACAGGCAACCGCCGCTCTCTGCTCGCTCGCTCGCTCATTTGCTCGATGGATAGCTCGCTCAATTGCTTGTTCGCTGGGTCCCTGACCCACCGACTCACTCGGGTACCTACTCATTCACTCACTTACTCTCTAGCTCGCTCAATCACTCATTCCCTGGCCCACTGACCCACCGACTCACTCGCCCATCTACTCATGCGCTCGCTTACTCTCTAGCTAGCTTACTCAATCATTCGTTCACCGGCCCACTGACCCACCGACTCACTCGCCCAACTACTCATTCACTCGCTTACTCTCTAGATAGCTCAATCACTCGTTCACCAGCTCACCGACCCACCGACTCACTCGCCCATTTAGTCGTTCACTCACTTACTTTCTAGCTAGCTTACTCAATCACTCATTCTTTTGCCCACTGACCCGCCTACTCGTTCACTCGCTTACTCGCTAGCTCACTCAATCACTCGTTCACCGGCTCACCGAGCCACCGACTCACTCGCCTCCTGCATCCTTCTCTTGCACCCCCGCCCCCCTTCCCTCCCTGGCCGTGTGTACACAGACAAAGCGGCGACTGAACCGACTGTTCCACCACGGCCCCGTGGCGGGGGGCCGCCGGGGCGGCCACGACGGAGTGGCGCGCTCCACTTTGGCAGAGCTGCTGCTGAGCGCGGAGCCGTCGCCGCAGGAGGTGCGCAACCTGCTGCTGTCGGTGGGCACCAGCGGCAGCAGCAGCGGCAGCAGCAGGAGAAGCAGCAGAGTCCACGCCGAGACCGGACGGCTCCTGTTGCGCCGCACACGCGCCATGCTCGCCACGCGGCACCCCTCCAGGTACCGGTCAAGGGATCCACGCTCGCTCGCATTCACTCACTCGCCCTCGCACCCACTCAACCACTCTCGCTCTCATTCACTCACTCACTCACTCACTGACTCACTCTCACACACGCTTACCCACTATCGCTCTCATTCGCTCACTCGCTCTCACACCCGCTCACCCACTCTAGCTCTCATTCACTCACTCACTCTTGCACCCGATCACTCACTCTCGCTTTCATTCACTCACTCACTCTCTCATTCACTCACTCACTCACTCACTCTCGCTCTCAATCACTCATTCACTCACTCACCGTCGCACCCGCTCACCCACTCTCGCTCTCATTTACTCACTCACTCTCCCTCTCATTTACTCACTCACACTCGCACCCGCTCACTCACTCTCGCTTTCATTCACTCACTCACTCTCGCTCTCAATCACTCATTCACTCACTCACCCTCGCACCCGCTCGCCCACTAACGCTCACATTCGCTCACTCACTCTCGCACCCGCTCACTCAATCTCATTCACATTCACTCATTCTCATTCACTCTCACACACTCATTATCATTCACTCTCACTCACTCTTATTCACTCTCACTTAATCAGACTCTGGGCGTGCTTGCCCGGGCAGCCAGAGGGGGACACGTGCAGACATGGCAGTGGTGGTGATCTCAGTAAGGGGAGCGGTGGCGCAGCGGTTAGCGCCTGCGCTGCACTACGAACAAGGCGATTCGATATTCTTAGGTTTTTTCGGTAAAGTCACGTAGGTAAAACATTAAAATTAATAAAAGTAAAATAAAATAAAAATCACGACGTTTCGGAGGCAACACAAGCTTCCGTCTTCAGGTGGAACCGTCACACAGTCGTGGCTGTGACGGTAGCTTAAAATCTAGAATTAGGCGATTCGAGTTTGATTCCCGCTCACGGCCACCGACACCACTGACGATTATCGGAACCGGAACTGGGCCGCTGCGAGGTCGACGCAGTCTCAAATGAGTACCTGCTGTGGTGTGTAAAAACATCGCCACTGGTGAGACAAAGGCGGCCGGGCGTGGTGCTAGCCACCAACCCCCTCGTGTGCCGTGCTGGCCTTCATACGTGCTCGCTAACAGCACTTGCCCCAACAGTCTATTACAGGCTATACGGGGGATCTTTGTTTTTGGTGATAATAGTCATGACGACAGTGATGATGATGACCATGCAGCTTCTGATGGTTATGATGCAGTTGATAATGATTGGGTTGACGGTGATGAAGATGATGACGCCGCACGGTGACGTTGCAGTGCAGCCATCCGGGAGGTCCTGCGCGACCCGCTCGTCAACAACTACGACAGATTCTCTACTGCTGGACTGTCCTCGTCCCGCTCCGGATACGTCTCACGTGCGTCCCCACCACCACCACCACCACCATGCACTACCACCACGACCACCACCACCACCACCACCATCACCCTCACCACCACCACCACGACCACCACCACCACCACCACCACGACCACCACCACCACCACCACCACGACCACCACGACCATCACCCTCACCACCACCACCACCACGACCACCACCACCACCATGCACGACCACCACCACCACGACCACCACCCTCACCACCATGCACTACCACCCCCACCACCACCACCACCACGACCACCACGACCACCACCACGACCACCACCCTCACCACCACCTCCACCACCACCACGACCACCACCCTCACCACCACCACCACCTCCACCACCACCACGACCACCACCCTCACCACCACCACCACCTCCACCACCACCACGACCACCACCACCACCACCACGACCACCACCCTCACCACCACGACCACCACCACCACCCCCACGACCACCACCACCACGACCACCACCACGACCACCACCACGACCACCACCACCACCCCCACGACCACCACCACCACCACGACCACCACCATCACCCCCAACACGACCACCACGACCACCACCCTCATCACCACGACCACCACCCCCACCACCACCACGACTACCACCACCACCACGACCACCACACTCATCACCACCACCGCCACCACCACCACCACCGCCACCACCACCACCACCACGACCACCACCCCCACCACGACCACCACCACGACCACCACCATCACCCCCACGACGACTACCATGACCACCACCACCACCATCACCCCCACCACGACCACCACCACGACCACCACCTCGACCACCACCATCACCCCCACCACGACCACCACCACGACCACCACGACCAAAACAACAGAGATCCCCCGTAAAGCCTTCATAGATTGTTTACCACCACCACGACCACCACCACCACCACAACCAAACACCATCGACTCGTCTGAAAACACATTCACTTTCTCTTCCCTATCCGTCCGTGTAGGGTTGTCTTCCTTCTTCGTTTTAATGCTTAGGGTTTAAAAAAAGAAAATGGGGATCGTGTTGTAAAAGCGTTGTGAGGCCTTGTGTGAATGGCGCTACGGTATATACACAACTGACCTTACTTAACTTACTTCTCTGGTTGGGTGTACATGACCCATCATCCGTGACCAATTGTGTTAGCCATCGAACAAAGACGGTGGCCACTGCATTGCGTGGCGCTTTCAGGTGCGCTCTTGTGGCCGTCTGGAACGCTCTTCCTACCGATATTAGGAAGCCACTGGAGCTATGCACTTTTAAAATCTCGATTGGAAACTCGTTTCTTTAAAACTGCTTTTTGTATTTAATTTGTTGTCATTTCCCCGCAACCTCCAGCTAACATGCTCGGCTACGTACGGTGCGAAAGAAGTTCAACACACATACGTACCAAAGCACCCGATCCCATCGGCGAAACCATGGAAAGTTAAGCCAGATTTTGAGCCTGGATAGCGCTTGAATGTGTGACCACCACGCGCATGCGGGTTGGCGTAGGGCTCACGGTGTCACGTGGTGGGCAGTGGAGGGCAGTGCAAGCACGATCCATCGTTGTCCTGAACTTATACGCTCCCACGTCTACGCTCGCCGGCTTCGCCATTTCGCATCGGCCAGCGTGGAGAAGGCCGATCGGATTAACCCCCTCCCCCCGCCCGACCCGCCTGGTGTGGGGAGGCCTTCATCCAGCAGTGGATTGGCAAAAGGGGTGTGCGTGTCCGCGTGTGTAGATGCAAAGCACATTAGCTGAACGATGCCGATTGATATCTGCATTGTGTCATCGACAAACAACGCCGTGGGTTCACCTTGTAGGTTCCGGCTCCGACGGACGGGATCTGTAGGCTAACATCGGAGAGGCTGATGGAAATTTGTCTTGAGAGCCAGTGAGGCTTCCCCTTGTCAAATGAATGCATCCACGGTCTAATCACGCTGGGGAGCTCGCCCAGCTCGCGAGATCGTGCGACACATTCCTTGGGGAGGAAACTGTAAGGAAAAGAAAAACACGTTGTCATTAGCGTTCATTTACCCCTCGTTCTCTCGCCTCCCTGCACCCCCCAGGAGGGCGAGGATCGACGGTGATCTTTGACCTGGACCTGCTGTTCTCCGACACGGGCATGCTGAGGCGGAGCGACCTGGAGGTGCTGGTGCGAAGTGGCGCTGGGCAGCAGCTGCCAGCGCTGCAGGTGAGTGTCAGCCTCCTCCGCCCAGCGCTACGACCTAAACCAAACTATCAAACTCAACAATTTTTTTCTATTTTACCAGGTAAGTCCCCGCTGAGCTGCGTAGTTCTATTTTCCAGAAGCGACCTGGCTATCACAAAATGATGGTTCAACGGAAGTCGCTCATCACGTGGACATTTATAGCGTGATGTTGATTCTGAATGTGGAGGAAAAAAGCGGAGGGAACGGAGAAAAATTCACCCGACCAAGGAGAACAACATGCAAACTCCAAATATACAGGCGGCAGGGTCGGGATCGAACCAGAGGTCGCAAACGGGGTTTGATTCCATACCCGTACCCGTACCCGGCCGCACCAGGGTCGCAAACGGGTACCCGTACCCGTACCCGGCCGTACCCGTACCCGTACCCGGCCGTACCCGTACCCTACCCGTACCGGGCCGGGTACAGGTAGGGTACGGGTATCGGGTACCTGATTGTGACCTCTGGGATGAAGCCATGTTGCAGGCGCGGGTGGGTTGATTCTAGGAACTTGAATTGTGAGAAGAGACAAGACGTTGGGAAATGAGTGACAAACAGTTACTCACCAGTGACTCACGGTCTACCCGTACCTGTACCCGGCCGCACCAGGGTCGCAAACGGGTACCTGTACCCGTACCCGGCCGGGTACGGGTAGCCGGATATCGGGTAGGGTACAGGTATCGGGTACCCGGTTGCGACCTCTGGATCGAACCCATTACAACTGTGATGACGCTGCCAATCTCCGCCTTGGCCCTCGCAGGTTTCCCTGGAGGCCGAAGGCTTCGACTCGTTCGTCGGCGGAGACGTGCCAGCGGAGGACGACGCAGACAGACGCAGCGACGTGGGCACGGACGAGGAGATGGACAAGAAGGTTGACCGTGATCACGAGCAGCAGCAGCAGCAGCAGCAGGAGGAAGAGGAAGAGACGACGGACGTGACGGCTCGCATGGCGGCCGCGCTGCTGGGCAGTGTCGCTGCGCCCCGTCACGTTCTTCCGCGGCTACGCCGACCTCCTCACCAAGATGTGGGCCTCGGGCAGCGAGCCCACGAGCGTGGCGCGTGCACTCGCCCTGCTGCAGAGACACACGCAGGTGAGGCCCTGCTTCGCAATGGATCTATGGGTTCGATCGTGTCAGTAAAATGTGTCGTACACCCTCCCTCCAGCCAACGCGACCGTTGTCACGTGAACAAACGTGCCAAGCGGGTACTGCTTCAGCACACGCGGACAAGTGCCACTCCGTTCTGTCCGTCCGTCGCGCGCACGCACAGATCTTGAGGCTGCAGTCCGGTCTCCCTACCGTGGTGGAGATCGAAGCGGCCATGGGGCTGGACATCATGGGGGTGATGGAGGTCAGCCTGTGGAGTGCCCAGTCGCACACGCGCATCAACAGCCGGTGAGAAGCGGGGCTCTCAAACCTCCCCCCCCCCTCCCCCGAAGAAACGCCGGCGCTCTCCTTCACAAAATTCTCTGGCACGTGTCGTGACGGCTACTGGTCCGTCCGGTGCTCGCCGAGCTGCGGTGGCTTTCGGTTACAAAGTCGCACTCATCGCACAGAAAGTCCTCGCCACAAATGAACCACATCAGCTCGCTGATCTCGTCAAGGAGCGTGAACCCGTCACGCGAACTCCGGTCGTTTTCGCAGCGGCTTTTGGCTCATCGCGCGGCGCTTTCAGATGCGCTTCTGCGGCCGTCTGGAACGTTCTTCCTTCCGATATATTAGGAAGCCACTGGAGTTGTGCACTTTTAAATCTAGATTAAACACTCGTTTCTTTAGAACTGCGTTTTGTGTTTAGTTTGTTGTCCTTCCCTCGTACCTTCGATTAGCACGGTTGACTACGTACGGTGCGAAATAAGTTTAACTTATATAAATATATAAATACCAAACATCCCAGGTTGCACCCAATCCCACCAGCGAAAACACGGCAAGCTAAGCAGGGTCTTTGAGCCTGGATAGCGCTCGAATGCGTGACCCCCCCCCCCCCCCCCGTGCAAACGGGTTGCCGTAGGGCTTGCGGTGTTATGTGGTGGGCAGCGGAGGGCAGTGCAAGCCAAATTCATCGTTGGACTGAACTTATACGGTCCCACGTCTACGTTCACCGGCTTCACAATTCCGCATCGACCAACACACTTACAGTCCATACCCGAGGTCACCCAGCTGGGTTTTCAGTGCTTTGGAGGCAAGGGTTTGGTAGATCACGCAGAGATTCATGAAAGTCGCAATCCTGCTGGGCTGGGAGTTGGCCACGAGTGAGGAATTGGTGTTGTTTGCGATAGATTCACGTCAGCAGCCCATTCAGTCAGTGCGGGATTATCCTCGAAGCACAAGTAGCTACATATGTAGCTACGGGCCCCGCACTTTCAAGGGCCCCGCGCTGCATGCTTTCAAGCTATCAATTCCGGTTCAGTGATTCTGCACTTGCTCTATTGTTGTAGTACTAGACTGCCTTCAACTTTTACGAGCGACTGGGTGTTTAAGGGTAGAGATTTGTCGTATTGTCTGGCTGTATAGCAAATGAAAAAATACAATTACTTTACTATGCAAGTAAAACATTTGTGTTTTAATATTTACGTGTTTTTATTTTATATAGGGCCCCTTTATAACATTTGCTACAGGCCCGACACTAGCTTAATCCGGCACTGCCTGCAGCACCACTCGAGGAGCTACCTTGCCTTTTTTGAACGATCTTTAAAAAGTGACTTTGATTCTTGAATGAAATCGCGATCGTCAATTACGACAATTTACTTAATCCGGGGGAGAGGCCTGGGGGGTTGTCACGGGGCGCGGTGGTGAATCGTTTCATGGTTTCACCCCTGCGAGGTGACCAGCTGGTGGCAGTACAGCAAGCGGGTCCGTGGCCGCATCTGAGCGGGCCTTCAATCTCCCCCCGTCTCCGCTTGGCTCGCGAACGTTGCGGCGGCGGTCGTTGCTTGTTGACATTGTGTTCGTGCGGTGCGGCGAGCGCAGGGGAGCGGTCGTGGTGACTGCTGGGGCGGTGGTGGACGTGGGGGCAGTGAGACGGGAGCTGCGAGTCTCCTGGGACGCGGTGTCCCGGTTCGACTTCCTCACCGGAGTCTACTTCTCCGACTCTCCCAGCGTCTTCTGCATGGAGGTGCAGCGCGGGGAGACGCCCACCAGGTGGGAGGAACGCCCCATCGTCAACCGCCGCCACAGCCACCGCCACCGCCACCACCACTACGGCCGCCACCACCGCTACCACCGCCACCACAGCCACAGACACCACCGCCGTCACCGCCACCACGGCCACAGCCACCACCGCTACCACCGCCGCCACCGCCACCGCCACCATCGCTGCCACCGCCACCACAGCCGCCACCATGGCCGCCACCACCGCTACCACCGCCACCACCGCCACAGACACCACCGCCACCACCACCGTCACCGCCACCACGGCCACAACCACCACCGCTACCACCGCCACCACCGTCACCGCCACCGCCACCACCGCCACAGCCACCACGGCCACAGCCACCACCGCCACCACGGCCGCCACCACCGCCACAGACACCGCCACCACCACCGCCACCACGGCCGCCACCACTGCTACCACCACCGCCACAGACACCACCGCCACCACCGCCACAGACACCACCGCCACCACCACCGTCACCGCCGCCACGGCCACAGCCACCACCGCCACCACCGTCACCGCGACCGCCACCACCGCCACAGCCACCACCGCCTCCACCGCCACCGCCACCACCACCACCACCATAGCCACCACCACAGCCACCGCCACCGTTGTATTTCCCGTCCCCTTTGCGTGCCGCTCAATCGCCGGCTGCTGCCGCCCCCCCCCCCCCCTTCCTCCGCAGGACGGAGGTGGTGGCGTCTTCGTGGGCGGCGTCGGACGACGAGGAGGGACCCGAGGAGGCGTCGCGCCGCTGGACGGGGTCCCGCGTCGCTCCGGCCGCGGGGCTGCCGCTGCACGCCGAGAACTCGCGCGCCTGCCGCTCGTTCTTCCCCGACGGCGTCGCCGCGAGCGCCGGCTGGGTCTGACCAGTGGCGATGTGTTTAATCCCCACATCCCATCACCGCGTCTTGGCCTCACTCATCGAAGGCGGGGGGGGGGGGGGGGTGAAGCTACGGCGCGTGGGGTAGGGGGGGGTCAGACAGACGCGGGTCTCCCCGCACCATTTCAAAATCGGCACGTGAATCGAAATTTGTCCGTCGCCGTCTTGGCCTCGCTAATCGGGTACTCGAGTATTTTAACAACCGGGCAAAAAACGCCACTCCCTTCAGCAGCACAAACTCAACATGCTCGTCGATAATGCTTCGAGTGTTCAATGGAAAAGTAATTATAGTAGGCGGTGACATTTTGGACAACTGCCCTTCCGGCCTCTCTGTGCTGTGAGCAAGAAAGGGGCCCCATTGCCTGACTCGTCGCCTGTCGCAAGCGCTCTCCGGTTTACGACGCCCCCCACGTTTGCGACGTTTACGAAACGCCGCCGTGGATCGATTTCACGACGCAGAGCACGTGATGCGCGGGACGCGTTCGAACAGAGTCGGTCCGGTTTTCCGATGCGACCTTGGCGTGGAGGCTTTTGTTATTTTCTCGAGTGTTTGTGTGCGGATGTTTACCCGTCAAACCCCGTTACGCGTGGCCGATAAGAGGAAGATAAAACCACACACACACACACATCGGCAAGTGCTGTTCCTACCGTTTCTACCGTCTACGGGAAAATAGGGTCCAATTGACAAAGGCGGCTTCCAGCGACGTATTGCGACGTCGTAAAAGCGGGGACCGCCTGCGTGTACCTGTCCACTTGAGGCCACGGTTTTATTGAGGAGTCGTCAACTGCATCTGTGCCCCCCACTGCCAACGCAGCAGCAGCAGCAGCTGCGTCCCCACGGGATGCGTGGAGGAAACGGTGGTCGATGGGAGGTGTTCTGTTATTGAATGATGTGGGCGACTCAGAGGCGGTCACATTGGCTCCTTTGAGGCGACAGGTTCTAATCCAGTGTTGCAGCCATTTCGTCGTTCTCATGTTTACACAAGATTCTCAAAAAGTCCGGTGAGTCGATGGTCTCAGCCCAGCCACCGATGACCGTGCCAAAAACAAACAACTCACCCGAATTAATAACAATTGGATTTTAATTTAATTCTGCTGATTCCAGCCCCTGTGGACCCAATGAACGTTGAACCGTTGTGTTTTCTATTTAAGTGCCGTAAGTCCTACGATAAGCGCGGTTGGCTACGTACGGTGCGAAAGAAGTTCAACGCCGTACGTACGCACAAGTCGGTGTCTGCGTGTCGTGCCGGGCGTGTCTCCCGAAAGAGGGTGAGAAGCCGCCGATGGGTGCCGTGAAATAAAATTCTCACTTCAGTCACTTGGCAGCGACGCGCGGGATCGGCTCGCGGATTATTGCACGGCGTAGACGTGACCCCCGGACGCAGGGAGCGGAGAATGCGGCGCACATCGTGTGTGAACGCTTAGCGTGGCGATCGCAAAGGAGGTTCCTACCAGTATAAAAGTATATACTATATATATGTACCGTATACAGGGTGATCCACGAATAGCCCCTGCACCGATGCCATCTGTGTGTTAATGCGCTCCGTACACTGACACACGCATTAATGTGCATATACATGCTTAAACACATAAACACATACCGAAAGACACATGCCGTCATACGTGCATAAACAAAGACAAAGATCCCCAATATAGCCTCAACAGACTGTTGGGGCAAGTGCTGTTAGCGAGCAGCACCTATGAAGGTCGGGAAGGCAAACGAGGGGTGGGTGGCCAACACCACGCCCGGCCGCCTTTGTCTCCCCAGTGGCGATGTTTACACTACACCATGTACTAATTTGAGGCTGAGTCAACCTAAGGGAGGCCCAGGGCCGGTTCAGACAATCGTCACTGGCGTTGGCCGTGAGCGGGAATCGAACTCGGGTCGACGGGGTTTGTAGTGCAATGCACAATCTGATACACGACTGCTCTCCACACACACACAGACGCACACACGCACACAACAACAACAACCGTCATTCGCCACTAAGTGGCGGTGACGTCACCACGACGCTTGTGCCAGGCTATGTGCACCTTGAGGCCACGTGAAGTGTCGAACGTCTGCTGGCAGGAGGTCACGGGGCAGACCCAGGTGCCACGGGTCGACTGACTGAGATGACTGGCTGATGCACCACCTGTGCCCCCTACGGTGCCAACTTGCTGTGCTTTAGCCACCCGGCGCTCTGCTGGTTGTTGTGAGCGTCGCTCCTCCGCCCTCCGTTGTTGTTGGAGGGCGACTGCCTCCAACTTCCCAGCAGCGTCCTTCACGAGCCTCCTCCACAGAGGCCGATCTTTACACCGCTGGTACCAATCATCGTCAAGTCCACTCAGCTCCACATCCTCCTGTACCACGTCACTCCATCTCTTCTCTAGCCCGTGCCGCGCCCGTTTAGCCCCCTCGATCCGGCCGAACAAAAGCTGTTTGGGCATGCGGTGGCTGGGCATGCGGGCTACATCACCCAGCCAACGCAGCCTTGCCTGCCGGAGGAGCTCACACACACATACATACGCATATACATCCATACATGTATCAACACACTCATAAAATATTCTTACAAGTATTAGCACACACACACACGTGTATACGTACAAAGACTCACGCTCATTCATATATACACGTATGAACACCCCAAGACACACATTAAAAAATACCAGCACACATTCATTCACACACATTCATATATCCACTCGTAAAAAAACACACCAAACACACACTCTCATTCACACATATCCGCATACACATTCACTCATATCAACGCAAATACCTCTGAGCACGTAAACACATACCAATAACACATACTCATTCAAACATACCCACAGAGACAAATATTCCCCGTGTCGCCTTTAACAGACTCTTCGGGCAGATGCTGTTAGCGAGCACCTGTGAAGCCCGCCACGGCACACGAGGTGGTGGGTGTCCAGCACCACGCCCGTCCGCCTTTGTCTCCCCAGTGGCGATGTTTACACACCGCAGCAGGTACTTATTTGAGGCTGAGTCGACCTAGGGGAGGCCCAGGACCGGGTTCAGATAATCGTCACCGGTGTTGACCGTGAGCGGGAATCTAACTCGGACCTCGGGGTTCAGAGGGCAGCGCGCTAACCACTGCACGACTGCTCCCTCCACACAAAAAGACAAAGATCCCCTGTATAGCCTAAAGACTTTTGGGGCAAGTGCTGCTAACGAGTAGCACCTATGAGGGCCGGCACGGCACACGACGCGGTGGGTGGCCAGCACCACACACACACACAAACAAAGATCCCCCGTATAGCCTTAACAGACTGTTGGGGCAAGTGCTGTTAGCGAGCACCTATGAAGGTCGGAACGGCACACGAGGGGGTGGGTGGCCAGCACCACGCCCGACCGTCTTTGTCTCCCCAGTGGCGATGTTTACACACCGCACCAGATACTCATTTGAGGCTGAGTCAACCTAGGGGAGGCCCAGGACCGGTTCAGATAATCGCCACTGGGTGTTGGCCGTGAGCGGGAATCGAACCCGGGTCACCAGGTTTCGTAGCGCAGCGTAGCGCTAACCGCTACACCCACCGCTCCCCACTCCACACACACCCACCAGCATACATACACAGGGCACGCGCGCGCGCCACCTGAGACTCGAATGCCACTCGTGTATCTGTTGCGTCGCATGCGGGACGAGAGTTGCACCCGCGATCTGTGGAACCGGTCGCATCCGGAGCCGGGCCCAGCCTCGACCTGTTCCGAGGCTCGGCAAAAAATGTTTCCCGTCGCGTTTTCCGTGCCTCTCGGCCACGTGTCGTGACGAGTGTGTGAGCAACCCGCTTGCGGCTGTGTGAACATCGCCACGAGGGAGGGAGACAAAGGCGGTCGGGCGTGGTGCTGGCCACTCGACCCCGTCTTGTACCGTTCCGGCCTTCATAGGTGCTCGCTAACAGCACTTGCTCTAACAGTCAGTGAAAGGCTATACGGGGGAACTTTGTATTTGTGTTGCCTCTACAGTCTGTTAAGTCTATACGGGGGATCTTTGCATTTGTGTCTTTGTGTGGGGAGCGGTTAACCTCCCCTAGGTAGACTCAACCTTAAAATGTGCACTTAGTGCGGTGTGTAAACATCAGCACTGGGAAGACAAAGGCGGTCGGGCGTGGTTCTGGCCACCCTCCCGGCCTTCATAGGTGCTCCTTATAGCACTTACTCCCAACAGTCTGTTGAAGGTTATACGGGGGATCTTTGTCTCTGTTTCACTGAAACAAAGCACCTGCCTGGCAGATCTTGTGTCATCAAACGCTCCACCGCCTCAGCGCGCTGCGGAGTAGTGGGGGACAGTCTGCGTAGAGAGCGAGGAGTTCCCGCACCGGGGCAGACTGCTCAGGCTTGTCAGCGGATGTCTCGCTTCCAACTGGTCGAGCGACATTATATTTTCATCATCATCTAGAGAGAAAAAGTCAATTGCACAACAGCTGTAATGCACGACAAGTCAGAAACAAAGCACTCGCAGTAGATGGCTAGGAGATGTTAACTACCTCGCCTGGTATGCAGGAGGTCGTGGATTCGATCCCCGACCCTGACGCCTGCTGTGTATTTGAAGTTTGCGGCGTCTCTCTCTCCCCGTGGCCGCGTGGATTTTTCTCCGGGTCCTCTGGTTTTCCCCCTCCACGTTTAGAATAAACATCACGCGTTTAAGAATATTTGGCTGCTATAAATGTCCACGTGATAAGCCACTTAAGTTGAGCTATCATTTGTGGCCAGGTTGCTTCTACAACAATATCTATATATCTCAGTGGGCCTTATCTGATGAAATAAAATTGTTTAAATTGTTTAGGATGTTTAAGCGAACGCGTTGTCAATCGACAGGGCCATCATGAACACAATGTGCCACCTGGCAACCTCGCTACACTGCCCCCTTTAATCAGTGCCGTTCCTATCAGAGTCAGTGCGATGTTGTTCTGGAAGACCGGGAGATCGATGATGATCGATGCTTGGTCGTTGATGGCATTCGTCATTGATTTTCTCACTTAACAACAGAATGGGTCCGCGTAAAGGTTTGCTGAACATCTTCCACTACACCCTAAACA